CAGAGTTAGAGCAGGAAGCCCTGGGCGTGGCCCACGTGCTCCGCCCTCATTAGACTCCTAGCCCCATTGGTTAAAGCTAGACAGAGGCGCCTCCAAGCACAAATACAGTCCCCGCCCTCCGCCCTCATTGGCCGGCTCAGCTTGAGGCCACTTTTTGACCCCGCCTCCTTCTCGCACCACACTCCTATTGGATGATTGTGCAAACTCCGCCCTACCCACACGTTGAATAGCTCTGTCCTAGGGGCGGTTCCAGTTTGTTTTACCAACCGGCTCTTTGCTTCCATTGGTCTATTTTGGCTTGAAGGGCGGCTCCTAGCGCAGACGCTAACCCCGCCTTGCGTCCCCATTGGCTGCTCCCACACACCGCCCGTTCCGGCCCTAGAGCCTCCCAGAGCTTCCCATTGGCCGCTATGCAAGGAGAGGCCGGTGCCGGCAGCAGTTGCGGGACCCGTGACAGTTCAGGCTTCAGAGCGGATCCAACAAGCGTTGGCCGCGGACATGATGCCTGAGGACCAGGAGGAGACCCAGCCGCTTCTGCGGCCTCCAGGCGGCAGGTAAACAGGAGGCGCGGGGGAGTGGAGGGACCAGCCTCGCTCGTTCCGCAGCGCCCTGGCTGGCGCCGCTCCCTGACCGCCTTGTCCCCGCAGAGCTCCCCGCAGCCGCCGCGTCTTCCTCGCCGCCTTCGCCGCTGCCCTGGGACCGCTCAGTTTCGGCTTCGCGCTCGGCTACAGCTCCCCGGCCATCCCGAGCCTGCGGCGCGCCGCGCCCCCGGCCCCGCGCCTAGACGACGACGCCGCCTCATGGTTCGGGGTGAGACTCCGACTGAGATCCTCCTTCCTCCTCCCATCCCTAAGACGGGTGCTGGGACCCTCCACGCTCACCCTCTCGGATGCGTGATGGGACCCTCCCCGCTGCCTTGCTTCGGGAGTGCACTGAAACCCTCCACCCAGTACGACCCAGTTCCCCCGCCAGGGGTCTCCCTCTGACCACCAGCCAGGAACTCCCACCCCCTTCCCTCTGAGGCCACTGGGAGTGGGATGGAAGGCGAGGTTGGGCCACGACCCCCTGGCACTTCCTTCTCAGTCGGCTGTCACCCCCAGGCCATCGTGACCCTGGGCGCCACGGCGGGGGGCGTGCTGGGCGGCTGGTTGGTGGACCGAGCCGGTCGCAAGCTGAGCCTCCTGCTCTGCACCGTGCCCTTCGTGATCGGCTTTGCTGTCATCACTGCGGCCCAGGACGTGTGGATGCTGCTCGGGGGCCGCCTCCTCACCGGCCTAGCCTGCGGCATTGCCTCGCTAGTGGCTCCGGTGAGTGTCCCCCAGCTTCACTCCCTGGGACAAAGAGAAGGAATAGACCTGGGGGCATGGTTCTCCCCGCTGAGGCCTCCTGGGTACCCCTTATCTGCTTTATCTCCCTTACTTTTGCAAGAGCCTCGCCTCCGAAGGAGCCAAGGTTGTTAGCCCCGTTTGCAGATAAAGTGAATTTCAGAAACTTAAGGTCCTTTGTCCAGGCACAACTAGTCAGTGGTGAAGCTATTACTCAAACCCAGGATTGTGCCACCTAACTTGGCCTCTCTTTTGCTCTACAAATAAGATGGCAGCTGTGAACGGGCAACAGAAGCCTCACAATATGGCTTGGACCCCCATCCCCCATTCCCTGTCATTCAGACTACTGACTACAGTTTAATAGGAAAATCCTTTTCTGGTTTGTCCCCGGGAGCAAAGGCTGCTGGGACCTGATGCTCCCCTTCACTGCTCCACACCAGCCCTCCCGCTGCTTCCCCTGCTTCTGCCTGCCTGCCCCTAACCCAGCATTGCCCAGGATGACTTTGGAGCTGTACACACCTGGGAGACATCTCAGCTCTGCCACTTATTGGGGCAGAGCACCTCTCTGCACCTCAGTTCCCTCCCCTGTAAAGTGAGAACCTCATGTGGTGGGTGAGGATTCAAAGACTGCACATACAGCCCTGGCATGGCTTGTGAAGGACTTGGACCCTGGCAGCTGGGATTGCTTGGTGACCAGTGAACTTGGTCATGGTCTTGGATGATCAACCACCCACACCCCAGCCTGGCTGAGATTGACAGCGATGGCTCAGTGTTCCTCCTTAATCGTCCCTTTGCAGCTGCCACTTATTTCACCCGCATCTGCTGGGCAGCGGGCAGCAGCTGGGTTGGATTTTTTGTTTTGGGTTTTTTTATTGGGCAAAAAAACACCTAAGTCATGGGCATAAAGTATGGAAAAACCTAGAAGCATGGGCAAGGCCTTTCTGGCCCCTGAGCCCAGAGGGAGCAGTGGCAGTCACTGATATTGACTGAGGCAGAGTTCCTGCTTTCACTCCAAGGACACCACTCAAAGTGTGGTCAATGGGCCAGCAGCCTGGGTGTCACCTGGAGCTAGTTAGAAAGGCAGAATCTTGGGCCCCACCCCAGACCTACTGCATCAGAATCTGCATTTTATCAAGGGTATTCGTACAATTCAATGAACATTTGAGCTCTGTGCTCCCACCTACCCATCCCCATCCCCATCCACACAGCAGCCAGGTATGTGCCCTTAATCCCTTTAAACACCCGCTACAGATCACTTGATGGGGTTCGAGGAGGTATGAAGAAAGCTCTGCTGACCTGGGACTTACAATTCGGGGCCCACCGGGCCTGTAGTAGCCTCAGTTGAGGCTCTCATCTTAATGCCAACAGGTCTATATCTCTGAAATCGCCTACCCCGAGGTGCGGGGGCTGCTCGGCTCCTGTGTGCAGTTGATGGTTGTCACCGGCATCCTCCTAGCCTACCTGGCAGGTAGTTTTCACATTCTCTCTTTCAGTCCCTGTTAATGGGCACGTGGCCACTTTACAGGAATAGAAACTGAAGTTCACAGAGGTCAGGGGACTTGCCCGAGGTCACACAGGCAGTGCCCAAGGTGCCAGGTTCCCAGCTTACCTCCCTGAGATCCTGGGCTATGTGGGTCTTGTGACTAAGTTCCAGGGAGAGCTGGAGAAGGTGACGTCCTCATCTTCCCAAAGCAGAAGCCCATTCCGGGGGTGTGGGGCAGGAGAGCTAACAGGTTAGGTCAGTACCTCACTGTGCAGTGACAGAGGATTCCAGGGACAGGTGGGACGCCCCCAAAATCTTCAACCCAGGAGCTTGGCGGGCCCAGGCATCTCTCCCTCAGAAATAGCAGAACTGGATTTGCAGCATGAAGGAGGTGGCTTCCAGGGCTGGGCCAACATGAGGAAGCTTCCGGAGGCAGGTGTGTTTTCACCAGAACAGGGGCAGATAGAGCACAAGCTTCAAATCTGACAGTCCCGATTAGGGGACGGCCTCCACCACTTACTAGCTGTGTGACCTTGGCCTAGTCACACCGCCCCCAGGAGCCTCACTTTCCGTCTTTAAGTGGGATAACCCCGCCTAGTCCAAGGCTGTTGAGGGTTTACATTAGTGACACGTGAAAAGTACCAGCCCCAAATAAGAATTGGTAAGGGATAGCCTGAGAACCGTGGGGGGCTGTGGCTTCTGGCCTGACGTGGCGGGACCGGGCCACGTACCCTCTGGGTCTGTAGAGTGGTCCATATGCAGGCTCAGGGTTTTCCCTTCTTGACTCTACAGACTCCTGCCAGCCATCTGGCTGCCTTGAGGGCCCAGTAGTGTGCCAAAGCCCTGCCATGCACAGACATTGACATCTGGATACACCAATAGCATTATCTCCAGCTTATTATAACCTGCACTTTCATTGATCAATTTCTGTGATCCAGTATTCAGAGAAAGGTCCCCCTCATTCTCTGTCCCCTGTACTCTCCGAGGAAGCCAGCCTTGCCTGCCTTTTGGTGGCCTTCCAGAGAGTCTGCACGTATGAGAACTATATATATTTGTTCTCCTGCCCCAACCTTTTACACAAATGTGCTATGTCATACCTGTCATTACATAGCGAGTGCCTCATTTAATGGCTACGTAAACATTTACTGAGCAGACGTAGCATAATGCTGAACCCTCATCATCTCTACATTTCAACAACAATAACGATAATATCAGTAACACAAGGTTAGCCATACAGAGGTAGTGAGGTCCCCACCCTTTAAACTGAGTCTCTAGAGTTGGTGAGGGGACAGGCTTGGAAGACCCAGGCCTGCTTACCCTGGCTCTGACCTCTGGCACCCCCCATCCAGGCTGGGTCCTGGAGTGGCGCTGGCTGGCTGTGCTGGGCTGTGTGCCCCCCTCCTTCATGCTGCTGCTCATGTGCTGCATGCCTGAGACCCCACGCTTCTTGCTGACTCAGCACAAGCGCCAGGAAGCCATGGCCTCCGTGCAGTTCCTGTGGGGCTCCGAGCAGGGCTGGGAAGAGCCCCCTGTCGGGGCTGAGCACCAGGTGAAGTCTGGGAGGCAGAACTGGAGGGAGGGGGTCGGCGAGGTAGTGCCCCTTCGCAGCCAGTTCTCAAGGCTGCTCGTGTGCATGCACACACACGCAGAGCGGGGGCAGTGTTGCCCCTGTGCGTGAGTGAGCAAAGGCCTGCTCGAGCCCCACTCCTTGGCTGGACCCGAGCCTTGGAGATCACTGGGAAAGCCTGAGCCTTGATCTTACTGTCCCAAGAAGAGAAAGGTCCGGCCAGGTCTAAGAGAAATGCAGGACAGACTCGAGGACTCAGATTTTTAAGTGGGAGTTGTAGGGCAGAGGAGGAGGTTGAGTCTCTGCCAGTTACCTGCTGTGGGACTGTCCCACTGTGGGGACTTAGTTTCTTCATCTGTAAAATGAGTCCTAGCACGTGCCTGGTTGTGGTGGTGGTGAGGATTTGGTGGGGCCGCGGGAATGGCTCAGCCCAGGCCCAAGGCTGGTGGGATTCAAGACCCCGGCTCTCTGCCCATGTGCTCTCTCTTTGTGGCTCCCCCCAAAAATCAGGAAGGGGCATGAGGCGGCGAGGATCTAGTTACCTTACAAATGAGGAGGCCATAGCGATGCAGACTTGTCTATGGACATGAGGCCCATGTGGGGCTAAGACAAGAAGCTGGGGCGCCCCTTGGGAGAGGGTATAGAGAAGCACTGACACCCCATGTCTGTCGAGCAGGGCTTCCACCTGGCCCAGCTGAGGCGTCCTAGCATCTACAAGCCCTTCATCATCGGCATTTCACTAATGGTCTTCCAGCAGCTGTCAGGGATCAATGCTGTCATGTTCTATGCAGAGACCATCTTTGAAGAGGCCAAGTTCAAGGTAAAGAGGCCTCTGCCCTGTCCTGCCTCATCCAGATGTCATGTGGGTGTGGCCGAGTCACGGGGTCTTTGCCTGACCCACCTCGGCCCATCTCCCCAGGACAGCAGCCTGGCCTCGGTCGTCGTGGGCATCTTCCAGGTGCTGTTCACAGCTGTGGCAGCTCTCATCATGGACAGAGCTGGGCGGAGGCTGCTCCTGGCCTTGTCAGGTGAGGCCTGAGGGTGAGGGCTCAGCCCTGTGCAGGTGGGGTGGCCGAGGCCAGGCTCCCCACTGCAGGCTGGGGGTGTTTGCCGAGGCCACCATGTTGTGGAAGGAGGCAGCCAAGCATCCCTGAGAACAAGACGGAGACTTAGTGGGAGTTCTCGCTGAGCGCTCCCTCCAGACCAGGCCTGCAGCGGCGGCATCGCTGTGCCACGCCTTGACTGTTACAATGAACCTGCAAAGGAGGCACCAAAAGTGACTCAGGAGCTAGTAGTGGTCTTTTGGGGCAAGTGACTTTACCTCTCTGAACCTCAGTTTCCCCTCTGAAATGGGGATGGCGGGCCATTGTGAGGAGCAGGCGGTGGTCTGTGCAGGTGCAGGAGCGCGTGGCGCTGTGGGGGACGAGGGCATTCAAACGGTGCCGCTGCAGCCGTCTCGGGCCAGGGAGGGTCTGCTTCCCGGAGCGTTCTGGACTTTGTTGAGGTTTGAGGGCCAGGCTGGGTGGGCGCTGCCCAGTCAGGGTTCCTGGATACCGCTTACCGCCCCCCTCGGAGGCTGTGGCCACACCTCACTGAGGCTTCAGCCAGGGCCAGGGTGCCAGGTGCCCGGGCTGGGGCCGAATCCCCCGGGCCCCTGCCCAGCACCACGCTCCGCCCGCAGGCGTGGTCATGGTGTTCAGCACCAGTGCCTTCGGCGCCTACTTCAAGCTGACCGAGGAGGCCCCCAGCAACTCCTCGCACGTGGACCTCTTGGCGCCCATCTCTGCGGAGCCCGCCGGGGCAAGTGTAGGGCTGGCCTGGTTGGCGGTGGGCAGCTTGTGCCTCTTCATTGCCGGTGAGAGGGGACCCGTGGGAGACAGGGCGGGTTGTCGGGGGGCCAATGGGGACACCCTGTCACTGCTGGGCTCCCACGGCCCCCAGCGAGTCCAGGCCTCCCACCCTCACCTCTCCTTCGAGGCCCCCACCTCTACGTTTGTAGCTCGGACCACGTGCCATGCACCGAGCTAAACCCTTCTCTGCCCCTTTCACTTAATCCCCAGCGCAGCGCTCCAAGTAGCTCCCGCCGCCTATGCCGGTCTATAGAGAAAAGACCTGTGTGTGCGGAGCGAGGGGCCTGGCCTGACCGCGCAGTGGGAAGGCGTAGAGCTGGTGGGCGCCGCACTGGTGGGCGCAGGCTGGAATGCAGGCGCCCTCAGCCCACGCCCGGTGGCACGGTGAGGCTGCCGCCCAGGGGCCTGCTGCGGGCCAGAGGCCCAGACCCTGCAGGTCCTGACCCCCGCCTTGCTCCCACAGGCTTCGCTGTGGGCTGGGGGCCCATCCCCTGGCTCCTCATGTCTGAGATCTTCCCTTTGCACGTCAAGGGCGTGGCCACCGGTGTCTGCGTCCTCACCAACTGGCTCATGGCCTTCCTGGTGACAAAAGAGTTTAGCAGCCTTATGGTAAGTACAGGCCCTGTGACCTCCCCCTCACAGGGTCAGCAGAGAAGTACGTTTTAAAATGACTTTTGTTACAAAAGACATTAGTGGCCTCATGTGCAGGCTGAGACCCCATCGTCCTGGGCCACCAGCCATCTCGTTCAGGAGTGACGGGGAGACAGACGGGCCAGGGCAGGTGAGGAACCCAGGCTTTGACCACCTGGGAGCCTTCAGGCTGTCCGGGTGGAGGAAAGCTGGGTGGGCCTCCCCCACGGGACATTGGGGACACAGGCCCAGAAGTAGGGCTATGCAGCAAAACTGGCTTTGAGGTCAGCAGGCCTTGGCCATTTTCCGTGGTGTGACTTTGGCTGAGCTGCTTACCTTCTCTGAATCGGCTTCCTTGGCTGAAAATGGAGCATGACAGTACTTTCCCCTGAGGGATGATGGGAGCATCAATTCAGTTCAACATTTTGCCACCTTCTCATGGGTGGACTGACACAGACATGGTCCCTGCCCAGAGGCTTCCCAGCTGGCAGGGTATGGTGCCAGAGCAGATAGACAAGCCTTTCGTTCAGTCATCCATTCCCCCACGTCTCCTGGTATTCACTACATCCCAGCCTGTTCAAGGCTCCAGAGACAGCAATGAATGAGATGGACAGGGCCCCCTTTAGGACAAGGTCTGGGATGGCGGGGGAAGGTGGTGGGAGAACGAACCACCAGGAGGCTGGGCTGGAGCAAGAGGAGGCAGAACACGAGAGGGGTGGACGCCCAGGGCTGGCCTGGAACCCGTCCAGGGCCTGGGCACACTCAGGCAGGGCTGCCCCGGGAAGCACAGCAGGGAGAGGCCAGGGAGAGGCCTGGAGGTGGAAAGTACTTCTGGGGGCTTGGCGGGGGACCAACAGCAAAGGAGGGAGGAGGCGGCAAGGGACCTAACAGTGACCCAGGAGTGTCGAGTGTACCAAAGGCCAAGAGAAGGGCTTCAAGGAGGAGGGGAGGGGCCAGCAGCTTCCCAGAGGAAGAGGAGCTGAGAAGGGAGGGGCCTGTGGTCACAGGCTGTGCTGGGAGGGTGGACAGGCTCTGACCGAAGGGAACAGCTCCCCCTTCCGTCGATGCCAGTGGCCCTGGGTGTCCCTGTGTGCTCACACTGCCCCATCTCAGCCTGCTGTAAGCTCAGCCATGCCCAGAGACTCCGCTGGGGGCGGGGCCCTCAAGGGGCAGGGCCAAAGCTAAGTGCAGAAGCAGGTCTGTGGGCTCTGGAGTCAGACCCCGGGGACTGTCACTTGATAGTAGGTCTCTGACCTGGAGGCGGTCACTTCCTCACAGTGGGCCCGTTGCCAAGTCACATGTCCACACCCTGGGCAGCGATGGCCGTGCCAGCCGCTCCGCTGCCCTGAGCCTGGGCAGGGCGCACTGGGGCCTCGGCTCCTGCCCACGCTCCTGCGCGTCTGCCACGTCCACTCGCAGCCTTTCCCTCTCCCCGCAGGAGGGGCTCAGGCCCTACGGCGCCTTCTGGCTCGCTTCCGCCTTCTGCATCCTCAGTGTCCTTTTCACTTTGTGCTGCGTCCCCGAAACCAAAGGAAAGACTTTGGAGCAAATCACAGCGCATTTCGAGGGGCGATGACAGTCCCTTCCCTGGAGCGGCTGCCCCTCCCACAGGGCCTGCTGGGGCTTCAGAGGGGACAGAGCCTGCCTGTGACTTCGAGCAGGGTCTCAGCCGGAGCCCGGAGGCCCTGCTCACCCCAGGGACCTGGGATCCAGGACCGCGGCCCCTCGGAGCCTTGTCCTGCGGGGTTCCTCCTTCCTGCCCAGCTCTCCACAGCCCCTCGAGCTGCGGCATAAGGTTCCCAGCCCCCGGGTCCAGTTCCTGTCGCTGCTCTGAGACAGGAGGAGGGAGCACCTCGGAGTGTCTGTCTTCGCTGCCCTGTGGCCAGTCCTCCACATGCCATCTCCGCCATGACGCAGAAGTGACAGTGGAGGGGAGTGACTCTGGACGCCTCGATTTCTGGAGGAGGTGCTTTTGGAAGCTGAGTTATGGCCCACGGTTTCCCCTCACGTGGCCGCATTATCAGGAAGGAACTTTGTTTGCCAAATAAAGATCTGACTCAGAAAACCAGGCATGGCCTCTCTGTGAGCCACACTTGCGAAGGGCATTTTCCTGTCCCTTCTAGTACTGGGCCTGGCCAAGCACATCTGTGGATTTACTTCCCGTCCCATTACCAGCTTTGCTTATGTCCCAGGCTGGGCAGCCCCAGCAGGCACCCACAGCGCGCGCCCACCTCGGCACCTCCTGTTAAGCTTTGTAACGAGGCCGGGGGGCGGGGCAGTGGAGGTGCAGCGTGGCCCAGCGGAGCGGTGGGGCGAGCAAGACCTCAGGCTGTTTCTGGACGGTCCCGCAGCAGCTGCTCTGATTTCGGTAGAACGCGCTAATACACAGGACAGCTGTCAGGTTTAGCAAAGTCCAAAGTCCTTGGGGCCTTCCAGAAGGGAAGTCCAGATGCAGGCACACCGCCCGTGCTGAGGACGCCCCACGCTCCCACAAGTGCCCGCATAGTGGTCCATTGATTGGGCTGAGAACCACATCGTAATGTTGGGCAGAGCATTCTACAAATGTCAACTGGGTCGTGTTGTTTAATAGAGGGGTTCAGGGCTCCTCCGTCCTCATTGATTTTCCGTCTACTCGTTCTGTCGTTACTGAGAGAGGTGGTGAAATCACCTGCAAACGTGGCCGTTTCTCCTCACAGCCCTGTGGGGTTTCGCTTCCTGTGCCACGGAGCTCGGTGATCAGGTGTGTGCACGTTTTGGATGGTTACATTCTCCCGAGAATTTCACCCTTTGTCATTATGAAATGGCCTTCTTTATCCCTTGTCATAGTCTTCGTTCCGAGGTCTGCTTTGTCTGATTCTGCGTAATCAACCACCCAGTTTGCTTTTCGTTGCTGTTTTGACTCATTTTAAACTCATTCTTAGTCCCCTTTCCTTTTCCACAGCATCCTATAATTTTTTTTGGGGGGGGGGAGGTGGGAGAATACTGTTTTGGATTTTTCTGAAGAGTCATATTTCACTTTAAAAATGAGTTTTATTGCGGCATATTTATATACCATAAAATTCAGCAATTGTAAGCATAGAGTTCGGTGACTCAGGTTAGATATACACAGCTGTGAATCCACCACTGCAATCAGCATAGAAGTCATTTTCATCACCCTAAAATGTTCCCTCATGTCCCTTGGTGGTGATCGCCTCCCAACAGCGATGGCCCTGCCATCCACAAAGGAGGAGCATCCCTATACTACGTCCCTATACCTTTGCTTTTTCCAGATTTTCGTAAACATGGAATCACATAGTTTACAGTCTTTTGAGTCTGGCTTCTTTAACTCAGCAGGGTGCTGTTTAGACACCCATGTTGTCGCATGGTAGCTCATTTCTTTGCACTGGGAAATTTTATTCCACTGGACACTCAGGCTGGTTCCAGCTTTTGGCGGTTGTGAGTAAAGCTGATACACACATTTGCATACAGGTTTTGCGTGGAGTAGAACTGCTGGGTCACATGATAAGTTTATGTCTAATTACTTTAAGATCCTGCCCAACTGTTTTCCGGAGCGGATGTACCGCGTTCCCACCGGCTGTGTACGAGAGACCGTTGCCTGCCACACCGTCAACAACGCTTCGGATTCACTATTATAAATAATACTGTTTACACATTTCTTGAAAGTTGTGCTTGTTCTCCGATTCCTCTGGAATCATTGATGAGGTTGTTTGTCTCGGTCTTTCTCTTTCGTGTTGCTGGTTTATCACAAATATCTGGTGAGCTTTGGCTGTCCACATTCAGGCATGAAGAAAGAGGTTTTAATTGTGGGAGCCGGTGCACGCCTCCCAACCTGTTCTCAGTTCCATCAAAGATTTGTCCCCTTTGACGCATCTTCACTGTCATTTCATGGGATTTGGAGGTGGAAATGAGGTAAAGGTGTAAGCTCAGTCCACCGGCTTGAAGCGTAAACTTTCTTCACTCTTTTAATGATGATGTAGTGTTTGCCATTGGAGTCGTGGTGTGTCAAAGAGTAGGTGCTCAAAGAGTTGCTGAATTTAAGATTATTATATAAATGTATCGAAATTTAAATCAACCTCACATTGTTTCATATTCAGATTGTTTCCGGTTTTCTGCATATTGACAATTCTGCTATTACATAGCTGTAAATTTAGAGAGAGAAGAGAGAAGTGGAGAGAAAGATGGAGCTGGTTATGGACATTTTGTCCCCCTAATATTCATAAGCTGAAGTCCTAAATCCCAGTGCCTTAGCATGTGACTGTATTCAGAGATAGGGCCTTTGAAGAGGGAATTAAGGTAACATGAGGATAAGAGGGTGGGTCCCAATCCAATGTGACTGGTGTCCTCATAAAAAGAGGAGATTAGGACACAGACGCACACAGGGGGAGACCACGCGAGGACAGGGAGAAGACGGCCGCTTACAAGCCAAGCAGCGCGTCCCCGAGGAAACCAACCCCACCCACACCTTGCTCTTGGACGCTCAGCCTTCCTGCTCCCAACTGAGGAAAGAACTTCCTGCCGTTTGGGCCGCTCGGTCTGTGGTATTTCTTATGTCAGCCCTAGAGACCGATGCAGAGGTAAAGGTGGTAAGGAAGACGATGGAGGTGGGAGAGAAGCCAGAGTCGGGGAGAGAGAGAACTAGAGCTGGGCCTGTGCGTAGGCGACCAGGAGTTTCTGAGGCTAAAACCTTACAGGCGTAACGGCCAGTCAGAGGAGCTGTGCATTACCAAAGCGATTTCTCCGTCCCGTTAGACTGCAACCCAGAGGAAGTACACTGGCCATGTCCAGGGGGCCTACTCCCCACTGCCTCAGGGTGTCTTCTCAGTGGGTCGGCACCCAAGACCAGGGAGCAGGACTCAGACAGGTTCGGGCACACGTCAGGTGTCTAGGTCTGGGACAGCCTTAGCGCCTGTGCTACTCACGTCCACATTTAACTCAATGTGACAGGCTACCCACTCTTAGTAACTTCTTGACACAGAGCTTCAAGCAGGCTATGCTCAGCCTCTGTGAATGGGGGCTGGCAAAGGACCAGAGGGAAGGCAGGCGGCTGGGTCACCCGCATCCCCGGCTGCAAGGGAGATGTGGGCACAGAAAACACCACCATGGCTTCGATCCCACCTCGGCTCCTTTCCAGGGGCCAAGGGCCATGGCAGCATGGTGGGTAAGAGCCAGTGGACTCACTTGTATTTCTCTGGTTGTTCCACTTGGTCGTACACATTCCGGTTGTAGTACTGTCTATGTGGCCTGGGCAAGTCACTTAACTGCTCCAAGCCTCAGTTTATTCATCTGTAAATGGGCACAATGATGCTCTCTCTCTCATAGGATTGTTGTGAGGTCGAAAGATGATTATGTAAAGCACTTAGAACTGAGGCCGTCACAGAACAAGCATTCGGCTGATGTTAGCTGGTGGTGAGGCTGTGGTGGGGAGGGGAGCTGCATGCAAGGCTGGTGCCACGTAAAGGGACATTTGAAATCTTTACACATTTTTCTTTTAATAGGCTACTTTCTACCCTGCTCCTACCCATATCACCTTCCGATTGCTACTAGCGCCCACTTATAGGTACCAAGGACTGGATACACGTGCTCTTCAGAGGTCCCCTTATGCTCCTTTGGGGCCTTCCCATCAGAGCACAAGTTGCTTCAGGGACAAGAGCCAGCCCCAGCTGACAGTCCTGATCTGCCCCAGGAGCCCAGCCCAGGACCATGGAGAAGAGGGGCAGGATAGAACATCCCCAGAAGGCAAGTGCAACAGAAGTTGTGCTTTACCCAGCCCACAAAAGACTGGTCTTTATACTGGATAACTGGGTAGACATCTGCACTGCCCACCAATACCCACTCCATCTCCTACCGCGCACCCCAAGAACAACTTCCAGGAGAATCCTGGCTTCTGCTACCCTGAAGCAAAAACTGCCTTGGCGCCACTCAGTGGCCACAGGCGGAAGTGCATCAGTTGACCCTTGAAGCACTCTGCTACCTCCCAGTGGCCATGGTTGGGATCGCAATGCTAAGGCAGGAAGCCCTCTGCTACTGCCTAGTGGCCAGTATGGGGTTAGCACCCGTTGGGCCTGAGGGTGCCGGCGAAACCGCACCAGCTGGAAGGAGCCACAAGTCAAGGAATTCAGGTAGCCTCTGGAAGCTGGAAAAGGTCACCTAGAGCCTTTACAAAGAATATAACCCAACCAATGCCTTGATTTTAACCTAACGAGACCTATCTCAGACTTCTGACCTCCAAAGTTGTAAGTCCAAAATTGCAGCAGCCCAAGGTAGAGAAGGGCTTATCTCAAAGGGATCTATGGATGTCGCTTGCTTAATACAGTGAATTCCAGTAAGATCTGTCAAGTGAAAAATATCAACTAGGTGTTTCATCACCAAAAGGATTTATTCGGGAAAAAGAAAAGGTTGCAACCCAGAACATGCAAACATGGCAAGCCACGTGCACACTCTGGCCTGTGCACCAAGACGGACGGGTATTTATAAAAAGGAAAAGGAAGTTAATGCAAGGGCAAGTTAGAACCATAGAGCTTTATTAAAACTTTTAAGAGTTCTTCCTGTATGGTTCTTGTGATTATGTAGAGCCCAAGAACTTCCATAAGCCCTAGCTCCTCCCATAGACCCTCCCAACTGATTATGTTTGCTTAAATTTCTAGTTCATCATTATCAGATTCATGGGGGATCCACAAAGTTAAGAGAATCATATTGGCAAAAACGCGACCAGCTATAACCAAAAGGGATAGACAGCACAAAACGAAAAAGCCTTAGGACCCCCCAAACTCATTTCTGCTTCCCAGGTAACGCATTCCATCTCCTTAACGTCAAAATGCCTCTAAAACTGAGTAAGCCGTCAGAAAATTTCTTAGGTAGTGAAGAATTTCAACAGGCTTGAAGGGACATTTCATCAATGATCTACGGGAGCCCACTAAAGTATCCCCTGGCACAGACTCCACGGGACAGAATACTCAGGAATCTCCTCTCACAACAGTGCTGATTAAACACGATTAAAGTGTGTTCCTGCCCACGAAATTACTGAAGTTCCCTCCCGCTGATAAGATTTTATACTTTATTTTAAATAGAGTGCCAGACCACCAGCTTGTGGTGTAAAGGTGGAAATTCTCCAGTTTCAGGGAGGAGGTATCTCCAGAAACCATCTCCTAGGGAGAGCAGTAACTCAATTGCAGGGAGGTGATATCCCCGGGCGCCAGCCCCAGGGGTAAGCGCAACATTCCAAGGCAAAGGTAATAAAACTGTCTATTAGGCCCTGTTTGCTGGGAGTTCCCCTGAATACATTTTTCTGTGTACAAAGAGTTAATGACTAACTTCTGCTTCTTGTCATCTGTTCATTCAAAGATGTAGTAAAAAAAACCTTATAAGCAGCCTGCTCGGGAAGCTCGGGGCTGATCTCCTCTAACCCTGCGTGGTAGAATCGCCAGCCGGCTAGTAAATGCTCATAATTAATCTCGATTGGCTCTGTGGGTCTCAGAATCATTCCCGCCACAACAGTGGCTGCCCTGTTCACACTCGGGGGCCCTCGTTTTCTCTACTCTTCCTAAATTTAGAAGGGCTCAAGAGAACCTCGGAGGTGGCTGGTTTGGGTCTGACCTGAAGGTCCAGGAAGGCGAGAACCCCGACCATCCACTGTTCTGAAAACTATGGACCACTGAAAAAATACCAGGCGTACAGCACTAGTGTAGATCTTGTAGAGCTGCGCCTGCGCTAAAACTGCCACTCCCAGGACCTTTCGGACCCAAGCAGCTTTCCCTCTGAGGGCCCAGCCGTAGGATTCCCGTAGAACTGAAAAGTATGGGCTAAAAGCATTGATGGGAAACAGAGCCTCGGAGCAAGAACTGGCGGAAGCCTCTATGGGAAGCACGGTCCACGAAGGTGCGGCGGCCACAAAACCAGCACAAAGAGAGAAAAAAAGCTTTGGCCGGGATAGGGCGCCCAGGGATTTCTGGAGAACGGAGTCCGGCGGGGGAGGCATGTGCGCATGACCGGAAGTGGCGCGATTCCGGCGCGCCCCCTTTGGCGCGAGAGCAGGACCTGGCGTTTGGCAGCACCTGCAACCGCAGTTGGAGCTCGCGCCGGTAGCCGGCGGCTGTTTCTGCACGCGCCGTTTTGCTTGAGACCCAGTCGTTGTTTGCGCCTCGGGCTCCCTAGCCCAGACCTGGCTATGCGGCTGGGGAGACAGTGAAAGACCCGCTGGACAGGCCCCATCAGGGCGCCCAGGGCCCAGCACCGCAGGCTCAGACCCAGCCTCGGAGAGAAGAGTCCAGCAGTTTGGAGCAGGCCTGCAGGGCGGGGCTGGGGCTACAGTGAAGCGACGCGGACACCCAGAGACCTGCTGGGAGGCGGTGGCGCGTGGTGAGACCCAAATGCTGGGGGAAGGTGAGAAGTGTGGAGGGAACGGTTTGTTCCAGCTTGCTCACTAATACAGACCAGAACTCTGCGGTTACCCTTTCCACTTGGGAACGATCCTTTGAATAAAGAATTTTGGGGTCAAAAATGTTTGAGGCGCTCAGGACTGGATAACCTGAGTATCCAACCCTTTTACCCCGACCTGCTTGGTGGACCAATAGCATCTTTGAGAGAAATGGAAAGGAACATGGGACGTACTTAGGGTCTCCTCTATTGCTTCTGATCTTTCAGCTCTTGAAGCAGCCAAGGATGCTCTAAACAGGAGCCTATTGGCTCCTCCCACGACTGAGGGCGGGTCGAACCCAGTTGGATTGTGAAGTTGTGTTTAGGCGCCGTTGTGTTTAGGAGCCGTTTAAGTTGTGGGGTAGTTGCCAGGTCTCTTAACCTGTTTCTTCATGGAGGGAAGGTTAAAATAACCTTAAGTACCTCGTCTACCTCTAGGAACTGTAAACATCAAATAAAACGTTTTGAAAGCATCTTGAATGCCTTACAGAACAAATGTGCATTTAATCTAAACCGCCAAGGCTCGTGTCATCCTCCCTTAGATCAGGGGGTACCTTCAAAGTCAGATTTAACAACTAGCATTTCATGTTGCCTTCCCCAGAGACCTGAGATGCAAGCAGGTTTTGTCCTCTCTATACTACTAAAAAGGAATGACAGAGTGGAGTTAGGGACAGCTCAGTAACATACGGTCTGTACCAAGACCAGTATCCAGACCTATTACTTCTGTTTCTGAGGACTGTACCACCTCTATTTTTTTAATTGAGGCATAATTCACATGCTATAATCATTTTTTTAATTTATTGGGGTGACACTGGTTGATAAAATTATATGTTTCAAGCGTACAATTCAATATTGCATTGTTGACTACCCAGAGTCAAATCTTCTATCACCATATATTAGACCAATAATCACTTTTAAAGTATAAAATTCAGTGGGTTTTAGTGTATTTGCAAAGTTGTACAACTGTCCCTGCTATTTAATTCTACATTTTCTTCACCTCAAAAAGAAACCCATACCCATTAACCACTCCCTATTCCCCCTGCCCCCTAGTCCCTGGCAACCACTAATCTTTCTGTCCCTATGGATTTGCGTATTCTGGACATTTCATAAAAATAGAATCATACAACGTATATCCAACTTCTTTCAATTAGCATAGTTTCAAGTTTCATCTGTGTTGTAACATGAATGAATGTACCTGGTACCTCTTTATGGCTGAGTAATATTCCATTATATGGATATACCACATTTTATCTCTTCAGTTGATGGACATTTGAGTGGTTTCCAGTTTTGGTTATCATGAATAATGCTGTGAACATGAGTGCACAAGTTTTTGTGTGGATGTTTTCATATCTCTTGGGTCTATACCTAGGAGAGGAATTGCTGTCAAATGGCTGACTTTTTTTTAGGAACTGCCAAATGTTTCCACAATGGCTGCACCATTTTACATTCCCAGTAGCAACAAATGTTCCAATTACCCTACATCATCAGCACTGTTTTCCATCTTATTTTAGTCATCTAGTGTGTGTGAAGTGATATCTCATTATCATTTGATATGCATTTCTCCAGTGATTTATGATGAGCATCTTTTCATGAACTTCTTGTCTATTTGCATATCTTGCTTGGAGAAATAGCTATTCAGATGCTTTGCCCATTTTGAAAGTAGGTTGTCTTTTTATTGAATTGTAATATATTCTTTATATATTCTGGATACTGGGCCCTTAGAAGATAAATGATTTGCAGAAATTTTTTTTCCATTCTGTGGTTATCTTTTCACTTTCTTGTATCCTTTGAAGCACAAAGTTTTTAATTTTGATGAAATTCAATTTATTTCTTCTTTTGTTACTTGTGCTTTTGGTGCCATAGCTAAGAAACTATTACCAATTAGACGTCATAAAGATTTATACTTATATTTTCTCCTAGGAGTTTTAGCTTTTACATTAGGTCTTTGATCCATTTTGAGTTAATTTTTATTAGTGGTGCAAGGTAGGAGTCTAATAACTTCATTATTTTTTATGGGGATACACAGTTGTCCCGGCACTATTTTTTGAAAAGGCTATTCTTACCCCATTTTATTTCTTGGCACTATTGTTGAAAATTCAGTTGTCTATAAATGTTTATTTTCAGTTCTCTTCCATTGATCTATGTCTATCTTTTTACCAGTATCACACTATTTTAATTACTGTTTTGTAGAAAGTTTTGATATTGTGAATGAGTCCTTCAATTCCTTCTTTTTCCAGATCGTGGGACTATAACTAAACATCAAATAAATTCTGGGTCCCTTGCATTTCCACATGAATTTTAAGATCAGTTTATCAATTTCTGTAAAAGAGTCATCTGGGTTTGATAGGGATTGCATTGACTCAAAACATTGGTAGTTTTTAATGTGCATGTCTTGCATTTTATTTTTTCCTAGATATTTTATTCTTTAATGCTCTTGTAAATGGAATTTTTTTATTTTCACTTTTCACTTGTTCATTGCTAGAGTATAGAAATACATCTGGAGAAATGTCTATTCAAATCTTTTGCCCATTTTTAAGTGGGTTGTCTCTTTATTGTGTCCATATTGTATCTTGTTTATCTGTGAGTTTTTTTGTGACCTTGTTTATCCATGAGTTTTGTGGATTCCTTAAGATTTTCTATATACAAAATCATGGCACAAAGAGATAGTTTTAGTTCTTCCTTTCCGATCTGGATGCCTTTTTTCTTTTGTCTTGCCTAATTTCCCTGGCTAGACCATCCAGTGCAATAGTGAATAGGAGTGGCAGGAGCAGACATTGTTTCAGACCTTGGGACAGCATTGGGCTTTCGCCATCAAGTGTGATGTTAGCTCTGGGATTTTCACAGATGCCCTTTCTCAGGTGAAGGCGGTTCCCTTGTGTTCTTAGTTTGCAGAATGTATTTTATCATGAAAGTGTCAGATTTTGTAAAACGGCCTTTTTGGTGTTTGAGATGACCGTGTGGAATTTTTTCCTTTGTATTAATATGGTATCTTATGTAGATCATACATTGAACGAACCTGTGTTCCTGGGTTGAATTCCACTTGGTCATGACCCCTTCTTTTAATTAGGCAAATGTCTTAAATTCACAGAGCCACTTTATCCAAAGAATAGGTGATATTTGTAAACTGTATACTTACATGCTAGGCATTGTGCCAATTGCTTTATTTGCATTTTCCTTTAATCTTCACAGCAACAACTTTACAAGGGATTATTATCCCCATTTTACAGATGAGAAAAATGAGACTTAGAGAGGTTACGTGATTTGCACACTGCAGGTAAGTGGTGGATTTGGGATACTTGAGAGTTTGTTGTACTCTAAAACCTCCCTATGTCTGACTAAATTGATGGGATTTCTAAGGTAGGAAAAATGGGAAAATTTACATCCTAATGCGGGTCTGCAAATTCAGCCCCAGTGCCCTGGAACCTTCAATGACCTTTGAACCCCCTCCTCAGAGTGAGAATGTGAGACCTTCCAGCTTGGTGAGCTGTAAACTTTTATGCCTCATTCTGTCTTTCTCTTTCTCCAGAACCACCTTCTCTGCACACTACCCTTGCCCAAGAGGAAAGTGCAGGAGAGGAAGGAATGGTGGCTGGTCTCCTTCCAGCTGGGCCCCATGTGAGTTGGAAATTTACTCTGAGAGGCAGCCTCTTATTAAGGGTTTTTTTCTCCTTAATTACAAAAGGAATTCATATTCATTGTAGAAAACCTGAATACAGAAAACATGCACCCCTCCCCTTAAAATTGGTTTATGTTCAGACATATTTTCCCCAAAATGGGTTTGCCCTGCTTTATAACCTTTTCCACATTGTAGAATTTGATTAAAATTTCCCCCATTTCATTTAGCATGTTCTACAGAATTTCTGACATATTCCATTGTATAATCCTGCAGGTAGAAGCTGTCTTCTTCCCCTGCCCGCTTTTTTGACTAGACTAGGTATTGGTCTGTTGTCATTTTTAGAAAGTCTTCTCTTAAATTTCCTCATCAGTTCTACTCTTTATTGACAACTTTTTATTAGTTTTTTTGTTTGTTTTCCTTATACTTAAAATTCATTTTTTGAATCACTTGAATCCCTAATTTTTTTCTTTTCTTATTGAAAGGTTTTGGCTGTGGGTCTTATTTTTGGGTTTTCCAAAATTGTGACTTTGGTTTCTTTGCCCATTTGGTTGGTCTGTGCTCCCCGGGGACAGAGTCTATGTCTCTTGTCAACACAAAACACCCAGGTGTAGTGTGACTGCAGGGTGTAGAGTTTGACAGCACTATTAGCTCAACCTTATTAAATTGCTCAGTTCTTCCATACCTTTATTTTGTATTACCTATCAACTGAATTAACATCTCTCATAGCTGTATTTTGAACTTCTCCTTGAACTTCCTACAGTTTTTCCTTTATGAATTATGTTTGTTATTTGGTTCATGACAGATCAGACACTCTTGCCTCTGCTCCTGGTGCCTCCCCTGCCTTGAACAGTCTTCTCTTGCCCCTGCCGAGGAATTTCCTCCTATAAGGCCAGCTCAGTGATTATTTGCTGTGGTCTTACCTGATTATCCTCCTGCCTGCCATCCACCTAGGATTCCTCTTCTATTATCTTATAAACTGGTCTGTCCATCTCTGACACATTGTTACAGGTAGTAGTGTTATGTGCCTGGCTCTGCTGCTGATACTGTGTGATGTCTGAGTTCACGAGGATACTTATTAAATGTTCTGAAACATTCAGTTTTCATATTCCTTTCCTAATTTGCACCTGATTCCTCATTTCATAAACTCACACATTCTAATTTTTGTTTTTCTATATCGGCTCTTAATTCCCAAGCAGCTGTTAGTTTCTGCCCAACTAACATTCACGTATATACGTGTTTTCTATTTATTCATATGTAAGTCTACCAGAATTACAAATGTGAGACTGTATTTTATTTATTTCTGTGTATCAATATCCAATATAGTGTTAATAAGCACATAAGGTTTTTTTTTCTGAACTACTCAGAGCCCTGAATTTTTTCAGACCTTTTCTAGGCCTGCTAGCCATTTTACCCAGAGCCACCAGCCTCCCGCCCCCTCTCCACCTCATTTCCTAAGGTCACTGGGAAAGACGACATGTTTGTTTCAGGGATCCATGCCCTTCAGCAATGTGACTGTGGCTTTCACCCACGAACAGTGGAGGCACTTGGTCCCTGCTCCAAGGGACAAGTTCAAGGAGGGAATCCCAGACAAGTCCAGGAACCTGGTCCTACTGGGTAAGGAAAGTATTTAAAATATAGAATCTGCTCAGTTCTGAAAACCTGTGGCACTTTCCAGTGTTGAGCGATCCCAAATTGTTCCGACACCCCAGAGGGATGTTTGTTCCTTCCCGCTTCCCCAGGGAAAGGTCTCGGCCTTCTTGGTGGGAAGATAGGCATTTTCATTTTGCTTCCCCCAGAGGCTGCATCTCACCATTTTTTTATTTCCCAGGAGGGCTGGGGTAACCTTCAGGCCAGTTCTCTCCATATTCAGTAAGTTCCCATCTTCCTAAATAGCTTGCTTTATGGACTCCTGGTTTGACCCCCTCCTGAGGCTGTTTCTGTAGCTTCTTCCAGAAATGCTTTACCAAGACACTGGCACCTTGTCTGTCTTATTTACTGCTGTATCCCCTAGTTCCCAGCACCAACTAAGTACTCAATAAATATTTGTTGAATGAATGAAATTAATGACCTAACTAGCCTGTTTCCACTCCCCTGAGTTCTGGGTAGCTGTTTATACTTAGGACAAATCTCTAAAGCTTGTTTTTCCCCCACTTGAATAGGACTTCCAGTTTCCCAACCTGGCATGAACTCCCAGTTGGAACAAAGGGAAGGCCCATGGATATTGGAGGGAAATGGCCTAAGAACTACCTGTCCAGGTACATTAGTAAGCACTAAGCCAGTGAGAGTATGGGAGGCAAAAGCCCTCTGAAACACATTAGTGCGTTTAATAAGGAAACAGTGACTGGGGGTACCAAGGTAAGAATGGGAATATAGAGAGGGTAGAGAGCTATATTTTAGATCAGATGAATAGGAAAGACCACTTTGAGGTGACACTGGAGTTGAGATCTGAAGGAAGAGAATGAGCAAGCCATGTGAGTGTTTCGGGGAGAAACATTCTGGGCCACAACACGTGTTGAGGCGCTGAGAAATGAATTTGCATCAGATTTAGGAGACAGAGAAATATGTCCCGAATAAAAGAACAGGACAAAAAAGAAAAAAAGAACTAAATGAAATGGAGTCAAAACACTGGTTATGAGGATGCTCAAAGCACTCAGGAAAAGAACAGATGAACTCATTGAGAACTTGGATAAAGAGAAAATATAAAAACCTGTCAGAATTGAAGACTAACTGAAATCAAAAATACACTAGAGGGAATCAACAGATTTGTTGATGCAAAAGAGTCAGCGAGCTAGAACACAAATTAGTGGAAATCAACCAATCAGACCAACAGAAATAAAAATAAGGATTGTAAAAACTGAGTTTTAGGGACCTCCAAAACAACATCAAGTATAACTAACATTAGAATCATAGGAATCCCAGAAGAAGAGACAGGAAACCAATTTAAAAAAATACTGGCTGAAAACTTCCCAGTTTGGTAAGAGACATCCAAATCCAGGAAGCACAGAGTCCCAAACAAAATGAGCCCAAACAGGCCCACACCAAGACACATAAGAAAATGCCAAAAGTTAGAGAATCTTAAAACAGCAAAAGTAAAGCAGCTGGTAATGTACAAAGGATCCCCCCATAAGACTATTGGCTGATTTTCAGGCCAGAAGGGAATGGTATGATTTACTCAAAATGATGAAAGGGGAAAAAAACAATAACCAAGAATACCCAGCAAGTTTATCATTCAGAATTGAAGGATAGTTTCCCAGAAAAGCAAAAGCTAAACCAGCATTGAAAAAAAAAGTTAAAAAGACTTTCAGTGGAAAAGGCCAAAACTAAAAATGAGAAAATATAGGTGGTAACGTCAGCATCATGGCAGTTTTGAGAAGATTGCTTTGTATCGCCCCTTAAATTTACAAATCAGACATCTGTAATCCAACAGACGTTCCTGAGAGGTCCACACATCAGTACATTTGAAGGTGGGCATACTGGAATGCAGAGCAGAGATGGGATGGGGTAAGATAAGGACAGTGTCCACAGATACAGTTTGGTGGCTTCTGCAGCCCCACCTAACACGGTAATAACAGGAGTTGGGGTGTGCCCCCACACTACGGCCCAGCAGAGAGATCTGTTTCTCAGAGGTGCAAGTAGCACAAGTAAGAAAAACAAACTTGCACTATATCACCATCTACTAGAAAACAAAGACCTCATGCTGAATTGAAGATCAAACAGTATCTAAACAAGAGTCCACTACCTAAAATACACAGGCAGGAATAATTCACCAAGAGCCATGAACAACCAAGGTAACGTGGTAACTTTCAAGAAGTGTCCAGAAATCAATCTCAAAATCACGGAGGACTCTGATTTTCAAGATTTCTGTCATGAAAAAAATCAATGAGATACCAGAAAACTCAAGACAGGCAGTTCAGTGAGCTCAGGAATGAAATTAATGAACAGAAGGAGTACTTTACTGAAGAGACTGAAACTATAAAAAGAACCAAAATGGGAGACTGAGGAACACAATAAATGAAATGAGGAATGCATTTGAGATCATTGGAAATAGCAAACCAGATAGAAAACAGAATGAGCAAGCCCGAAGATAGAAATGACTCAGATTAAAGGAAGAACTAAAAGCTTTAAAAAATTAAAGAACTCCATAAGAACTATCTGACTTCATTAGAAAGAACATAAGAATAACAGGTACCTCAGAAAAGGGAGAAGGGAACAAAGCCTATTCAGATAATTGATGAGAACTTCCTAAACCTTGGAAAGGAAGTAGACTGCTGAGCATAAGAACCTAACGAAATATAATTATCTCAATGCAAAAAGACCTCCAAGACACCTATTAAAACTCAAAAGTTTAACCCTTTTCCCATTTAGAAAAAAAAAAGTGCAGCTCACTGCCAACATCACTTTAACATCACACACAGGAATGCTGTTTTCTAGGATTTGAAATTTTCAGCGACCGAGAATTACTATATTTTGTAAATGGAAATACCACTACTAAAAACAAAATGCTATAAATACAATGATGTCATTTGTTTCTAAAAACTATTGATATACTAGAACAATGGGAAAATAATAATAAAAGCAAGATATTTCATGGCAAACTTTGGGGGTAAGATCAGGACTGCAACGTGAGGCATCTCGGGGTAAACACTGCAGCTGCAGGTGCCACTGGCAGGTATTCTCGGGGCCAACGGGAAATGGGTTAAATGAAGAATTCTCAAGGCAGCCAGGGGAAAAGACAGTAAACTACAAAGGAAAACCCATCAGATTATTAATTAGATTTCTCAGTAGTGACATCGTACAATCCAGGAGAGCGTGAAATGGTATATTCAAGAGAGAAATCACCAGCCCATGACATATCCAGTATAGTTGTCCATGGATAGATGAACGGGTAAAGATGTAGTACATATAGAATATTACTCAACCACAAAAAAACTTGCTATTTACAACAATATGGATGGAACTCAAGAGCATTATATTAAGTCTGACAGAGGAAGACAAATACCATTTGGTTTCACTTATATAGAATGAACAAAATGAAACAAACAAACTCATAGAGAACAGATGATTGCCAGAGGGGAGGGAGATGGCAGGTTTGGGCAGACAGGGAAGGGGACTGAGAATTAAGAAATAAAACCACACTGTTTTCCAGAAAGGTGGTCCCAATTTCTGCAGCTGTATCAGTGGCATGAGATATTCTATGCTGCTGCACTCTAGAAATAACCATTTTTTGACATCTTGATTTAAGTGAAAATATTCATGTTGCTAGCACTGTTTATCAGCTCTTTAAAGTGAATTATTTAAACCTCGTAAACACATTGCCCAAATCCATACAGAATTATTAAGACTAAGACAGCTTGAGGTAACTCAGTACTTGGCAAAAGCAGATGAGTATCAAAAAAAAAGAAAAGGAATATTGCATCTGAGGTGGAGGATTAGGGTAAATTTCATCCCTTTGCATTTAGGAGAATGGACTAAAGGGTGCTAATATATCTATCTTAAAACCCAAAGCCACCTCGTCATTACACAGGGTTTAGAACCGAAAGAAGAGATCGGTAACGTTCTGAGTGAAAGGAAGTGAAGTAGTAAACTTGTCTGCATAAGAGCTCAGCCGAACTTCAGCCTTTTGTATTTCAGAAGTATCTTTTCTTCCATCACAGAAATCTTTTTAATTGCCTAAATTTTTTTCAGACCGGAAGATTGTATCTCAGTCACCACCGGAACAAGACATTTCTGAGGAATCATGCCAAGACACAAGTGTAGAGGTGTCCCCTGGGAAGTCAAATCACAGGAACAGTGACCTAGGGAAAAGCTGCAATCTGAGACCAGTCCTTTCTCCTCAACAGAGAGTTCCTACGGAAGTGAGGCCCTGTAAACGTGAACCACAAACGAAGGGCTTCACGAAGGGTTCAGATGTCATTAAATCTCACCGAGTGAAACCGTACATGTGCAATGAATGTGGCAAAGCCTTCAGTTACTGTTCCTCCCTTTCTCAGCATCAGAAGAGCCACACCGGGGAGAAGCCATACGAGTGCAGCGAGTGTGGGAAGGCCTTCAGCCAGAGCTCATCGCTCATCCAGCACCAGAGGGTTCACACCGGAGAGAAACCTTATAAATGCAGCCAGTGTGGAAGAGCCTTCAGCCAGAATGCAAACCTCACAAAACACCAGAGAACTCATACTGGAGAGAAGCCCTACAAGTGTACGGAATGTGAGAAAGCCTTCAGTGACTGCTCGGCCCTCGTTCAGCATCAGCGCATTCACACAGGGGAGAAGCCCTACGAGTGCAGTGAGTGTGGGAAGGCCTTCCGTCACAGCGCCAACCTCACCAACCACCAGAGGACACACACAGGGGAGAAGCCCTACGAATGCAGCGCGTGCGGGAAGGCCTTCAGCTACTGTGCGGCCTTTATTCAGCATCAGAGGATCCACACGGGAGAGAAACCTTACAAATGCAACACGTGTGGGAAAGCCTTCAGCCAGAGCGCAAACCTCACCAACCACCAGAGGACTCACACGGGGGAGAAACCATACAAATGCAGTGAGTGTGGGAAGGCCTTCAGCCAAAGTACCAATCTTATAATCCACCAAAAGACCCACACTGGAGAGAAGCCATACAAGTGTAATGAATGTGGGAAGTTTTTCAGTGAGAGCTCAGCCCTCATTCGACATCACATAATCCATACTGGGGAGAAACCCTACGAATGCAATGAGTGTGGAAAAGCCTTTAACCAGAGTTCATCTCTTAGTCAGCATCAGAGAATTCACACTGGCGTGAAACCTTACCAGTGCAGCCAGTGTGGAAAGGCCTTCAGATGTAGTTCAGCTTTCATTAGACATCAGCGACTCCATGCTGGAGAGTGACTGGGAACATGGCCAATGTGGATAGGGACCTGACAGGTAAATGCAGGTAACCTGAAAGCACCTGGAGACATCTTTTAGTCTGTAGCCCAGAGCCACATGCGCCTTTAATAAAGTCAGTTCTACATACTGCATGTGGAAGGACTCAGGAGCTCTTAACACTTTTCCATTTAAAAAAGTATAGCTTGCTGCCAGCATCGTTAACATCACATGTAGGAATGCTGCGTTTTCTAGGATTTGACATTTTCAGCAATCGAGAATCATTGTATTTTGTAAATGGAAATACCACTACCAAAAACAATGCTATAAATAGAATGTCATTTGTTTCCAAACAATATCGACATACTACAGCGATGCAATAATAATAAAAGCGAGATATTCTGTGGCAAACTTTGGGGGTAAGGTTAGGACCATAACAGCGAGTTATCGGGGTAAATGCTGCAGCCACAAGCGCTGCTGGTTATTTATCCTCGGGGCAAATGGGAAATGGGTTAACATCTTCCATAAGCTTAAATAACTCCTTGAATGAGGGCTACTGCCAAAGAAACAAGTACATTGGCCAGGAAAGAGCATTTCTTTTAATGGGGCTACTAAGGTATCTGATCTAGAGGAGTAAATTCAAGTAAGAAGGATTCTAAGGCCAACCATTAAATGCGCTCTCATTGGGGGCTGGGAAGGGATTCACTCCCTAATGCTAGAGACATTGAAATCTGGGAAAGGCTGCAACTCAGGGAACACTGCAGTGCCCAATGTTATAACCTGTTCCAGCGCTTGTTACTGCTATGGAAGTCTCAGGACAGTGAGATTGAGGCCATCAGATGGAAGGTGCTGAAACCTCTCCATAAGGCACATCCCTTCCTGTGGAGACCCTAACAGGGAGGGACAACCTAATGATAGCCATGTTACCCTGGCTCAGAGGCCGGTGGGTCATCTTCACATCCTTCCCCTCTCTGGAGAAGTTTCCTTTGATCAGTATTTTTACCTTTGGCCTGCTTCCTTTCTCCTTGGCACTGACCTGGGTCCTGCCCTTGATACTTATAACCCATCTCATATCCCAGTGGTGTGACCGCATCCTAGCACGTATAAAACTCCAGTGTGCTCCCTTGGCCCTGGGTTAAGTGTTTGATTTCAGACACAGACTTCCCATTACTAGTGTTCTCCTATAAGGGGACCTTGTGTCAACCATCCCTCACCCAAGGCCTCTAGCTTTGATTGCTTGGGTGACTTGGTACCATGTCCTGGAATTCTCACTCTACCCCTTCATTCACCCCAATTCTCAGCTCATCCTTTCCACTAAAGGGCCTGGTGACAAATAGAAGAAAATGAAGTTCTCAAGTTAATCATCCCCAACTCCCTTTAGGGTAGTGACCAGAACCACCTTCCAGGTGGTGCTTCAAGCTATTCAGGTATGGCTTGTCCCAGTGCCCAGGTGTCCATTCACTTAACCGAAAGTGATAAGCTCTTAACGTGATTCAGAAAGAACAGAACTAAGGGAAGATGAGGAAGACTTGAGAAAGATGGAAAATATACACTGGAAGATCCACGGATTCAGAGAATGGCAGGACAAGAACTACAGCTCACTTTAGACACGAACTCTACCCCCATTTCACACAACCTCAGGACCAGTCAGGGAGTCATGATAAGGTCAGGTTTCTTTGTTGTTCCATCAGTGACTCTGGCCCCCAGCTATGCACTGAAATAAATACCAATTACTGAATCTTGAATTATGGGCCCTGAGCCCCAACCCTCCGATGATGAACTTGGTCTGGAATGAAGAGCTTCATCCCATTTACTTATGCTGAATTACAAATTTTCCTTCTGGCCAAGATTTCTTAGAGCGCCATGAATGTCTCTACAAAAAGCACTGAGACTTGCTTTCTAGATGTCTTTCCTGAGCTAGTCCCACCGAGGGAATGTACTGCCCGGACTGCTACTTCCACAGGTTCTGCTACCTTGGCCCCACTAACCACCATCTGACCACAGGGAGCTAGCTCCCCCAGGGAAGAGACCACATCGAAAAGTCCAGTGGTTATCAAATAAATGATCTTTAATTGAAATAGTTTTCTTTGCAGTTCTTAACTCTGTGGGAAAGAAAAAAAAAATCCTATCAGTGACGGGACAAAAAAAACCTCAACCCCATTACTGACCATTTCTAGAACTTTCCAGCTCATCTCCATGAATACATTAGCTCCTCTCCAGCTTTCACCCAGATTTTAAGCAAATGAAACTGATGCAGCAGTTACTTACAGCTGGGCATTCCACTGCGCCACTGTTGATGTCATCTATGATGTCATGAGGATGGCGACCATCAACATTGCAGCCCACAGACTGGGCAGTGCCCAAGATCTCTTTAATGGTTCCTATAATTAAGAAAAAGTGGCATCAGATGGGGCTGTCAGCTCCAGCTCCTCACAATCCTCAGATACCATTAGGGAAATACTTTGGGTTTCACCAACAGCCAAAGAGAGGAATAACTTATTTTATAAAATACTAGGAATATCCCTGCTCCCCTATTCCAAAATTCAGAGCTCTACTTTGTTGTGTGAGCCCTAAATTCAGACTTCACAGAATCCTTGATACCCAAATTGAACACAACCAACCCAAAATCTTCCCCATGATCAAGCCATTCTTTCAAACCCAAAGGACGCTATGCCCCACATTTTAGGTTTTACAGAATAAAATCCCCTATAAGAAGAGAAATGCTACTCGGTGAATGACACCAGTGCCATGCTCTTACCAGAGAGTTCTCTAGCTAAAGATCGGTGCCGCATCTGTCGGGCAATGTTGACAATCTCATCGAAAGTGATGTTTCCACTGTGCTTAACTGCAGAAAAAAACAGCTAAAGCTTTGTCACAAGCCAAGGCCAGAGTAGACCACATGTCCTCCCTCAGCCATTTCCAGATGTTCCCATGCTCTCGGCACAGAGTCATCCACATGAAGAACAACCCTGTTTCCTAAGCTGGGGTTTACTATCAGCTCACCACTGGATTGCACCAGCCAACAGAGAACTGGTCAGGTGCAGTGGCGGGTGGCTAGGCTATGGCAAAACCAAGTCTACTAATCTCATGTAGAAGAGACTCAGAGTGTCATCCAGCTCGGCAGTCTCTCCTAATTAGTGGTCATCATTTTCAGGTGCTTCACCCTGACTATTTCCTTCCTGTATGGCACCTTATAGTGCCTGGCTCTGTTACAGTTTAACATCAAGTCCCCAAGCCATCCCTAGGTCTGGTTATAGAAGACATGCACTAGGTATCAAGCACTAATTACAAGCAGGCACCACCACTCATAAACCCTCAGTTTACCATAGAAAAAGCTACTCACTGTTTTTCTGCTTCTTTCTGTCCCTTGGTGGTTCTTTGAGGGCTTTGATGATCAAGGCAGAGGCAGAAGGTACTACCTCAATCTGCAGAAAAGAATCTCAATGTGAACAAGACTTGTGCCACCCTCTAATTACAATACTGCCACGCAACTTGGTTCTTAAGAGACCACGCACGGGCTAGACACTGGATTTGCTTATACGTTCTCAAATAATTTTCAGTCTAAAACGTCCTTTAAGAGACAAAGTGATTGACCCAATGTCACACAAGTGAGAATATATGAGACTTTATCTTTGACTATGGTCCATGCTCTCAAAAGATCCCTCCCCAGATAAAATTACTCTCACCACTGGTGGCTGGTGGCCATGTCAGCAAAACCCTTCCACCTAGGAATCCCAAACTACCCTCAAACCACCCCTCAAACCACATACCTGGGCCTGTCTGTTCTGAATGGTCAGTTTCACTGTGATCCTCAGACCCTTCCAATCACCGGTTGCCTTGGCGATGTCATCACCAACCTTTTTTGGTGACTACAGAAATGAAAGTATGTAATCATATCATGCCCAAAGTTTAACAACAACCTGAAAACCTGCCCAGTCTACCTCACTTGGCAATACCTCAAATCCTCATCAAGCACAGAAAACTGAAGCACATAACTGTACCTATCCAATCAAGGTGTGCCTATCACCACAGTATAAACTGGGAAAATGAGGCTGGGGTGAAGACTATTCAGGACTGTAAGCTGTAAGCCCAGGGCCATAATGGGGCAAAGTCCCTTCCTTACCTACCTACCTTCTCATAAGGACCCATGTGATAATGTAGGAACTTCTAACCTTGGTTACATCTGAATCCTCTGGGAAGCTTTACAGATGGGTATCAGGTTCCTGTGTCAAACCTATCCAAGTCAATCTACTAGGGTGGGGTATGGACACTTGCTACTTTGGAATGTCCTAGTGACCACGAGCCTAAATAAGTATGCCCAGTGAGTACCTGCTAAGGGCTAAAGAAAATTATTAAGACGCTGGTTATGCAAGACCAAGGTGGGAGAGTATTTGGGACAGACCATTATGCAAGGAATAAAAGATTAATGATATTGAGGGAAACCCAAATTAAGTAAAATGGAGAAGCAGGCAAGAGGCTGGTCATAGGTAAAGTTGGTCTTATTAATCCTCCCAACAGCAATACGCCCATATCCTTGACTAGGAAACACAGGCCACTTGACTTCAAAACCCTCACACCTGACCTCTTCCGGCCCATCAGGTGCACTAACAGTGGTGGTTAAGAGACACTGGAGAAGTTACTCCTTCAAGTACCAAGTTCGATTTTCATACATAACCTTTCTACAGAACCTAATGCCAATTCAATGGCTCAGGTCTAATCGGGGACAAATATCCGCCAACACCAATGACATCTTCCATACGGTCGTGCTTGCACAAACCAAGCATAACTGCTCTCACAAAAGAAACACCCTCCCACGAGAAAGACTTACCAGACCCAAGGGCCCGATCTTGGGGGCCAGGGCAGATGTGGCACCGACTTCCCCACCGGTGCACCTCAGGTACACTGGGAAAAGAAAAACGATTAATGCCGCTGGGGGGGGGGGGCTCACAACCAAACCGGTCTCTACGCATCGTTCCGGGGCTAGCCACGCCACTTTTCGGCTCTTTTCAAAACAGCTCCAAGAGCCTTGGCGGAGAGCCGAGGCAGGCCACCCCCTCCCAGCTGCCATCACCTTAAGCGTGGGCCGCTCCAAGCGCCACGTGGGACAGCGGCCTTCGGTACAGCTACGTCTGCCGAGGCCCACACCGAGCCGGCGAGGACGCAGCCGAACCGCCAGCCAACTAAGTGGGGAAGCGCCGGAGACAAACCTTACCCTAAAGCGTGCGGGCTGCAAAGCCGCCACAGGTCGTCCGGTCCTCCCTCCCCATTTACACGTGGGGAAGCTGAGGCTCAGAAAGAGTAAGAGATTTCGCAGCGCCTCGAACGTGGCACCGGAAGGGCCTCTAGCAGGCAACAGCTTTTTAAAAAGCCCGACGTGGTGGGAAAAGCAACTGCGGAGAGGCCGCGGCTGTACGGGCTGCGGGGAGAAGGGATGCGCCATCCCGCAGCCCTGGCCACATCTAAAGCACGCACCGACTTTGACTTCGTTGGGGTCGAACTTAGGCGGCATTGTGGAGGTGGCTGGTGTCGGATGAACCCGGATTCGGGACGACCGAAGACAGTTGCACCGTAGCCTCCTCCGAGCCGACAGCAGAAAGACCGGAAGCCTCTTGGACCACGCCGGATATAGGCGGCGAAGCGCAGCTGTCGCGAGAGTAGCCGTCTCCGCCCAGCCTCTCAGCGACGCCCTTGCCGCCATGTTGCTTGTGGGCAGGCGCCAGAGGCTAACGAGTGGAGAACCTGATGGACACCTCGGTGAGCTGTGGCCAGGGGGCTCAGAAGAGGGTTCAGGGCAGTTTGTCTCTGGGAGGCAGACAAAAGAGGGCTGCTCCCAAGATCCCGGGTCCCGCTGTTCCCCATTCTCTCTTATCGTGAGGGTCACCCCATGGTCCTTGTCACCCAATCCCAGAACCCCGCCCCTCCCCTGAGAAGTCCGCACCCACATTCGGAGACCTCAGGGCCACAGTGACCCCGGCCTTTTTCGTTTTTTAACTCTCTCGTGATGTGTGCATTTTAGTTAATCAAAACAATTTCGTTCGGGTCCAAATTCGTTCTCTTAATTCTAAGATTCTGCAGTTCTTGGAGTCTCAGACTTCGTCATCATGGTCTGCGTGACTTTCTGAGATTCTGAGTTTCGGTCCCCAGCTCCTGCGTTTGAAGGAGACCGGTCTCCGCATTCGCCGGCGCTCGTGCCAGGTAGTCTGCGACCCGGCGTCCATGACCAAGCCCTAGGAGTGATCGGCCTGCCCGAGGGAACGAACGTCGGAGACCTGTCAACCATAAAGCCAGGTGGGGCACTCCCCACTCCAACCAGGGGAAGATGAGTGTGGTTCTCCCCATCTGGACAGGAAGCTGGGGGAGGGGATGGATATGGGGAGCAAGCTGGGAGGAGCTCACCTGGGGGGGATGAGGGGAGGAGGTGGAGAGGACTGGATTTCAGGGAGGGGGTGAGGGAAGGTTAGTCATTAGGGAGCAGAAGATTAGAGCTTGTCATCAGGGAAGAGGTGGGGAACGCTGATTTTAGATTATGCCCCATCCCAGCAGTCAGGTGGGGTGACGAGAGGAGCCTGAGCCAGCTCTGCAGTCTTGGCTGGCTCCCCAGACAGCCCACTGGCTGTGGGCGCAGACCTGTGATCTCTGCCCCTTCCGCTGAGGACTGGGTGTGTGTCTTCAACTGCATCTCCTCCCTAGCCCTCTTCTCCCTAGATTTTTAAACTGTAGCAGGCCATGAATAAATGTTAGGTGTGTGGTGCTATGTGGCTAACATTTATTAAGCAGTCATTCTGTACCAGGTACTGTGTTATAGGCTTTACACACATGAAATCAATGGATCCTCATAGAATCAGGTAACATTATTACTCACTTTACAGATGAGAAAACTGAGACTCAGCAGTAAACCAAGGTGCCATGGTTGGTGGGTGGTAGATCTGAGATTCAAACCCAGTTATATTTCAGGGAATTTAAACCCAGGGAAGCTATTAACCCTAAGCTTCCCTGGATGATTGTTTCCTGGCCCATTGATGTCCATTGTCAAGCACTGATATTTGCAGATACTGGGCAGGCAAGTGAGCATCTGGCTTCTGAGTTCACGACAGTGTACTTAGTGCATTCGAAGTTATTTGAGCACCAAAGAGTTAGGCAAATACACAGGATCAGGACTCAAAAGAGCAGAATTCCAGACTGGTTTTGCTACAATCCAAGCTGCATAACCAGGTCACTGAACTCGATGATTGTCAGTTTCATCACTATAAACAAGACTGTGATGAGAATCAAATGGAATAATAACTGTGAGAGTGGTAAGGTGCCTGAAAATTGCTTTTGAATTTTTAGTTAAAAAATTTCTTTAGTCGCGATGTAGTTGAGCTCTCCAAGGTCATGGCTGGTTTATGTCATGCCATGTTTGATGCGTTGATACCACTCACAGTGTTTCAGAGACTAGCAGTAACTCATCAGGCCAGTCTGTTAGAGTCCCCAAAGGAAGGCCTGAGGAAACTTCTCTGGGTCAACCCCTTATCTAATGTGAAGGCGAGAAGGGGCCCAGAACGGGGCAAAGGTATGCCAAGGTCTCCCAGTGGCCAATGGCAAATGTGGGCCAGCACCCAGCTCACCTGGCTTGTCATCATTCTGCCTATGTCAACAAAGAACAAGAAGTAGTGAGCACCTGCTATGCCTGGCTCAGGGCACAGGGTGATGGTCCAGATGGACACAGCTCCTGCCCTCAGGGAACTTACAGTCCAGCAGATCAGCTGCATGCTCTGCGTTACCGCGCTGCCTGTCCTGGCTTTCGTGGGAGAGCTGTGACATATTCCCCAGGCCCTAACTTTTCTCCTATGCCCTAGTGCTGTGAAGATTGCACTAGGAAAAAGGAAGGATGCCGCTCTTCTTCCGGAAGCGGAAACCCAGTGAGGAAGCTCGGAAACGCCTGGAGTACCAGATGTGTCTGGTGAGGGGAAATATGTTTCCTCTGAGTCCATTCCCATCTCCGCCTCCGCCCCGTGAAAGAGGGCTCCGCACTTTCCCCCAAACAAACTGTGCGGCCTCGCATCAGCCTTCCCCACCTCCCCCCACCCCCAGAGGAAATCTCTGACTCACAGCAGACTGATAAGGCTGCCTGTCAGGTGCTCAGGAGTGCCCTGTACTTCCCTTCGTAGACCGATCGCACCCGTCATTACTTATTCATTTGTTCTTCCCTGCTGGCCCTCAAACCCCTTTAAACCAGGAATCTTTGGTCTGCCACAAAATGGATTAGTTGAACCAGACGCCGTCTGTGGTCCCTTGTAGATTCTTAATCCTATGTTTCTTTGCCTGGTTTGTCCACTCTGCAAGGATGTTTTGTTTGAACACTTTAAAAAAAAAACTTTTTTGTAAAAGAAAACTAAAAAAATGCACCTAAACCATCAATAAAAATTTTTTTATCCTTAGGCCAAAGAAGCTGGGGCAGATGACATTCTCGACATCTCTAAGTGTGAGCTCTCAGAGGTAAACTGGGTGGCGTCCTGGCTGTGAGTTCGGTTTCTCCTTTCTTCTTGAATCACATGTTCCTGGGGAAGACAGATGTGGACTGGGGCTTTAAAAAGTCTGGAAGTGCTGGTCAAGAGCTGTTTCCTTAGATTTTGTTCTTGTCCAAAAGAATTGAGATGATCTTTGGCCTCGATGTAGTCTTCAAGAGTCAAGGAAGCTACTTAGAAAAATGGCCCACAGATTCCTAGGGTCCTGGGAGAGTGTGGGTTTCTCTAGCCTCTGCAAAGCACTGGAGACCTTTCTTCTGCCTCTGATAGTTGATGATGGGCATGGGGAGAGTGGGCTAGGACTGGGCAGGGCACTGTCCTGCCCAGCTGATTGGAAGGGGGCGCTGCCCATACCCTGAGCAACATTCCTCACCAGCCTTTTCCCCGGGCTTAGTGCTGTTCTCTACATCAGCATTTTGCATTGTTCGCCTCCTGTTCCATCTCTCCCTCACACATGTGCCACTCAGAAAACAAATTAAAAACTGGCCAGTGGGGAGGCACTAACTCTTCTTTATTCTTCTCTTAGATTCCATTTGGGGCTTTTGCAACGTGCAAAGTTCTTCAGAAAAAGGTGAGACCGCGGGAGTGTTAGGAGCTCTCCTGGTATCCCCCTTCTTTCTGATTCTCACCCTCGCAGCCTGCAGCCGGTCTCTTCACCGTTAGGAGAGCCGGCTTTGGCATAAGACAGCCCTGGGTCACATCCTGGCTTTGCCACTCAGGCCTTGGGCAACTTCCTTAAATGCTTACATTTCGATTTCTTCATCTATGAAGTAAAGATAGTCATAGCTTTATTCTGACAGAGGTATAGTAAGATGCAAATGAGTGACAGAGCAGTCACAGAGTAAATTAATTACTGCCATGTGAACACTGAGAAACCTCATCGTTATTAATAATAAAAACCACACTCACTTCTTTCTGGACACTCCGAGGGGGTTAAGAGTGGAATGAATGATTGTTAGGAAAGTCTTTGCAGCTTTGAACGCAGCTAGGTAAGAATATTCTAAATGAATTATCTAGATCAGGGGTCTCCAGCCCCGGGGCCATGGACCAGTACCAGTTTGTGGCCTGTTAGGAATGGGGCACACAGCCCGAGGTGAGCAGTGGGTGAGCCAGTGCAGCGTCGTCTATATTTGCAGCCGCTCCCCAGCGTCACCGCCTCAGCTCCACCTCAGATCGTCAGGCACTAGATTCTCATAGGAGCACTGGTACCTGGTGCCAAAAGGGTTGGGGCCCACTGGTCTAGATGAAGGTAGGTGAGAAGTGTTCCATACCAATAGGGTGGTGAGCTCCTTGACACTAGAAGTATTCATCCAGGGGCCAGTGCTTAATAAAAACGGCGACAGATGACATGGATCAAGCACTGCACCGTGATCTGGGCTAAGTGCTTTTTGTCCATCAGCTTGTTAATCATCATGGCAGCCCTCAAAGGCAGGCACTTTATTATCCTCTATTTTCCATGTGAAGTCGGAAGCTAAGGAAGGTTAAGGTCAGAGCAACTGCATGAGGATCTCTTCTCAGAACGGAAATAGAATTAGCCCTCTAAAGTCCCTTTCACCCTTGAAATTCCAGGTCTCAGGGTCATCTGATTCCACCTTGGAGGTCCCATCCCCCACTGTGGAGTCTGAAAGAGCGGAGAGCACTGGGCTGGGCAGGGCCCATGTGCATCCTGCGCTGAGCTGGCTGCCTGTCGCCAGCCTTCCAACCTGCTGCTCTTCTTCAACCTAATGCGGCAAATCTTTCCCACACAGGTGTTGATTGTCCACACGAATCACCTCACTTCCCTGCTTCCTAAATCCTGCAGCCTCCTGAGTCTCATAACCATCAAGGTACTAGGGCCTTTCTCCCAGGCGTGGAGGACTCTGCATGGCTTTCTAGAAGTCCAGCCCCCTTTGTGTCTCCTCTGTTAAAGGGTATGCCAGTGGGCCTAACGTAATAGTCCATATAGGGTTTAATCAGCATAGTTTATTGGGCACCTTCTATGTGCTGTGCGTGGGGTGGGGTTACAGAGAGAACGAACCACAAGCTCTGCCTTTGGGGAGTTTGCTGGCCAGACAGAAAAGCACGCCATAGACTCACAGCAAGCGAACTGGCAGAGGGCGGGAAACTCATGGTCCCAGACAAGAAGGACCAGGACAGACACCTAATGGTCCCAGACAGGGAGGAACAAAATGGACGCCAGGCATCGTGTGGTCAGTGTGTGAAAGCCTGGTGACCCGGGATGACTCCCTCCTGACTGTCAGCTCCTCCAGGACCAGGACGTAGTCGCACAATACGTGAGACGTGACCCCAGAGTTGTCCCACGTGACCATGAGCTGTGACGGTGTACACACTAAGAGAAGACTTTTTATGGTTAACTCTCATTTGTTGAGATCAGGGGTAGTTTTTACTTCTCTTTATTGTCCAACATGCATTATTTTTGTAGTCAGGAAAAGATAACATTAAAATTTTTTCTCTTTATATTTGTGTTTTATATGTTTCATATATATGTATGGTATACATACACATGCATATATATGTATATTTCTTGTGTCTTTTACTTATCTTCATTGTTAAAAAATTAAATATAATTAAGCAGAAAATAGGAAAAATATAATTTCACACTCCAGAGACCCACTCAATATTTTATTGCATATTTAATTGTCTTTTTCAATATAAATATATATTTATACTCTGAAGATTTTTTAAATTTCCTTTTTTTTTTTTTTTTTTTTACACCTATAGCACCTGGTATTCCTAGGTGGTCTCCTATCCAAGTACTAACCAGGCCCAACCCTGCTTAGCTTCCGAGGTCAGACGAGATCGGGCACGTTCAGGGTGGCATGGCTGTAGACTGAAGATTTTTTTTAAACATAAATGTCTCTGCATACTTTTTTTACTCAGTAGTTAAATATTTGGCAAATAAAAGGGTGAAATGGTATAATATTTTGAAAAAGGAAATGAGATGGAATGATCATTTAGTTGGAGAGGAAAGGTTGGGTGCTCTTTATCTCAACACCAGCAGCCTAAGGCACCTGCCCCCCGCCCCCCACCCCACCAGCATGTTCTTGCCTCTCGGGAGCCAAAAATTGGAGGGACTGTCTTTGTTGGTGACTGTTAGGTTCCAAGCTTGTCTTTCTTCTGCAGGTTCTGGATCTTCATGATAACCAGCTGACAGCCCTTCCTGAGGACATAGGGCAGCTGACGGCCCTCCAGGTAGGGCCACAGGAAACAGAAAACCCACCACTGATCCCTCAGTGAGAAATTTCAGCCACACAGACCTGGAATGTTCTGGTTGTAGTCGGGCCAGGCGACACTTGGCGCCAGCTCTCCTGCCCCTTTGCTGTTAAGACACCCAGTGACGCCCCCGCCATTGCAGTCTGGGCCGTGGGTGTCTCTCTACCATATTTTTGGCTTGTCCTTTTTGAGATTTCATTACAAGCTTCCACAACTTTACAGAAAAAAGAGCCAGCAGGTCCACCTTTAAAAATGCTCAATTCAGCGCCCTAACTCTTAACTCACCGTCTCCCTGCTAATCCTGGTCAGCGGCTGCCCCTCGTCCCTGGAGTGCTCACCATGTGCCCGCGTGGAGTGGAGCCTTTCCCTTGCCTTGTGTGTTGCTTCCTCAGCCTTAGGGAGGCGGGTGTCAATTGTCCGCGTGCTTCGCAGAGGAAGAAGCAGCTTTCTTTCACGCTTAGGTTAAGTTTCTTCTCGTCACTATGCCCAGTCAGACCTGTCTTTCCAGCCTCCTCCCCTATCTCCCCTTCGCTCCCTGCAGTCAGCTTCTCTGTGTCCACCCCCGGCAGAGCCTGTCCGCAAGGCTCTTCTGCCTGAGTGGCTCGTCACCTCATCCCTGAGGACCCTTCCAACCTCCCTGAGGAGACCTACCTTGTTCACCTGTGTCTGCACCCTGGCTTCTCTCCCCGAGAGCACTGACTGCAGTGTAACGAATTATCCATCAGCCACTCCCCTCCTGAAACGTAACCGTCCGTGGGCAGTGTCCTCGCCCGGCAGTACCTCACACACAGAGGAGACTAAAAAGTGATGCGAAGAGCTTGCCAGGTGGAGGATGTTATCGCAATTTATAGAAAACTGAGGCCCAGAGGGATGACTGTGACTTGCCCAAGGTCATATAGACAAGAGGTGGCAGAACAGTAGTAACTGCCACCACTGAGACCCATAGCGAGTATCTCGGTATGGGATCTTTTGGGACATTTTTTTATGTGTGTATTTTTATAGAATTGCTGCATTCGCTGTTTTGTGACTTTCGAATACCCAGCGGTAACTTGTAACCATCCTTTGGTTCATCAAATATTCATCTGCCACGCTATTTTTAATGGCCGCTTAGCTTTCCATCGTATCTGTGTTTAATGGCTACTTAACGTGTCATCCCGTTGGCCTTGCCTACCTCCCAGCACCACATCCCGGAGGTAACATGGCCTTTGGAACCCTGTAAACCCAGTTCCAGCCCCGGTACCACCAGCTACCGGCCTTGAGAGCGGGCAGACCCCACTGCCTTAGTGCAGCTCAGTTTCCTTCTTCCTAACACTGGGACAGCTAGAGCCTTGTCACATGCTGCCTCCCCCAGACCCCTGAAACTCTTAGTCCCCTTCTCCCTCCCTTCCTGATCGTGGGACTGTGATTGGGCATTTTGTCATCTGTGTAAACGATGGACCCAGGTCCACGGTCTGGCTCTGCTCTCCTGGGCACATGATTTCACTGATCTCAGCCTCGGCTTTCTCATCCCTCGGACGGGATCATAACGACCTGTGCCTCCCTCACAGGGCTGTCAGGAGGAGGCAAAGGTGTGTGTACGGTGCCCTGGCCTGAAGTAGGCGTCTCACAACTGTCTGTACGTAGGGGTCTCATTATTCTTTCCTTTTTCTTAGGTATTGAACGTGGAAAAGAATCAACTGACGTATCTCCCACATTCCACTGGGAACCTGACCCAGCTCCAGACCCTCAATGTGAAAGGTAGGGGCAAGGAAGCCCTGACTGTGTAACCCCTGCTCAGCTCTGGGCTGTCCCAGCCAGAATCCTTCTGGGAGCCATTGAGCATAAGGGCAGCCAGTCCCCAATACGTGGGACTGACCTGTTTGGTTGCCACAGTAACCACAGACAGGGTCTTGTGGGTGGGGGGCGGACACCGTTGACAGCTAGGCCTCTGAGACTCCGTCATTCGTGTTTACAACAATAAGTGTGGTGGAAAGCAGAGTGGACTGACTGAGTGACAGTGATCCGGGAGCCACAGGGACAGTCTTGAGTCTGTCACACTCGGTAAACAGCACTTCCACAGCCACCGAAGCAGCAGTCTTTGGTCTATGAGGTAGGGAGAAGGGCAGGTGTTCTCCCCAAGTTACAGATGAAGAAGACGAGGCTCAGAGAGCAGTGACTTGCTCAAGACCCCCCCACTGTGACAGTGCCAGAACCCAGATACTAATGCATCAGTGGAGTGCCTGCCTCATAACCCGCAGCCCTTCATTTCTTCTGGCTGCTTTAAGTACTTTCCGCACAGAATGCCTCAGTACCTAAACGTAGCATGCATAATGATAAAAGTAATGGTGGCCCACTTAGGCACTGCGCCGAGGACCTCATATGCATAATCTTACCGAATCCCTCTACATTCTCTTGAGGCCAAGTGGTGGTATTATCCCACTTGACAGATGACAAAACTGTGCCCCAGGGAGGTAAAGTCAGTTTTCCAAAGTGAGCGGTGGAGTGAGGACTTGAGCCCCGGCCACTGAAACTCCACCCTCGTGTTCTCTCCTCACGGAGTCGCAGTCAGGGTCAAAGTGAGGCACATAAACCTCACCGCCCCCCCACCCCCCGCCCCGAGTCCTGGCGGCTGTCAGGCAGGAAGCTGGTGAAGGGGCTTAGGGTGCTGAGCCATGCCATTGGGCTCTCTCCAGACAACAAGCTGAAGGAGCTTCCGGACACCATAGGGGAACTTCGAAGCTTACGCACTCTCGACATCAGTGGGAACGAGATTCGGAGGTTGCCACAGATGCTAGCTCATGTTCGAACCCTGGAGGTAAGTGAAGCCATTCTTGCCTGCGGTCCTCTTTGGCCTGCCTGCCTCCCCGCTCCCACACTGCTGAATACCTGTCCTGGCCACAGGGTGCTGGGGTCACAGAGATCCCAAGGCATGGCCCTTAGGAGCTCTCAAGGCGACTGACATGAATAGTTGGAAGTCTGTGGCTTTTGCTGCCATAATGGAGGCAGAAAAATGTGTTTCTCGTGCGAAGAGAATGCAAAATCCTGATGGGATTAACACTTCCTGAAGGAGGTAGAATTCGAGCCAGACCTTGAAAGAGGAATAAGCTCTAGAGACTTAGACCAGGGTCACTGGAGCACTCTAGGTGGGGGAACAGTATGAGGAAAGGCACAGGATGTGTCAGGGGAGGGGTGGGGAGCTGAGGCGGTTGGAGGTTGCTAGGCCTGGAGGGTCCAGCTCATGGGGCACCCAGGGGCTGTCAGGGAAGGAGCGGCCTCAGCTTGGAGCTGCAGAAGCTGAGTTTCATCAGAGCAGGGGGTGCCAGGAAGTAGGGGTGGGGGGCAAACACCTCCTGGGACATCTTGTCGGTTTGCCAGGGAGGCTGTAACAAGGTACTGTGAGCTGGGTGGCTCGAACAACAAATATTTATTTTCTCACAGCTCTGGAGGCTGCAAGTCCAAGATCAAGGTGTTTGCAGGGTTGGTCTCTTCTGAGCCTCCTTGGTGTGTAGGTGCCCATCTTCTCCCTGTGTCCTCACACCATCCTCCCTCTGTACGTGTCTGTGTCCAAATTTCCTCTGCTTCTAAGGACACCAGTCTTATTGGATTAGGGCCCAGCCTGGTGACTACATTTTGGACATGATTGCCTCTGAAAAGATCCTATGTCTAAATATAGTCACAGTCTATGTTCCTCGTGGTTAGGACTTCAGCATACATATTTTTAGGGGACACAACCCAACCCCTAGCAGACACTGGCACAAGGCAAGCCTCTCGAGTAAGGCAGGTTCCCAGTGTCATGACCAGATGCTCGCACTGGCCCGGTGCTCCCGAAGGCCAGGCACTTGACTCACATTAGCTCCCTGCATCCTTCACAAAATCTGTGAGGCAAATACTGTTGTGCCCTTTGCAGATGAAGAAACTGAGGCATGGACGGTTTAAGGTGCTCGCCCAAGGGCCACACAACACTAAATAGCAAAGAGGGGATTGTGTGGATCCAGGGCCTGTGCTCCCCACCTCTGTGCAGCTCGGCCTCTGGAATAGGAACTTACCCATCCGTTCACGGTGACACATATCTGACCAAGCAAAGAGAGGCGGCTGACCCAGGTGGCTGCTCCCTGCTGCCATGGCGGCCAACCTGAGAAAGGACAGGATGGTCAGGCGGTTGTCCCTGGGCAGGCTGGAGAGACAGACCAACACGTGGGTATTCGATGTGCTGTCCAGTAGAACCTTCTGCCACGATGGAGATGTTCAGTGGCTGCTGTCCAGATCAGTAGCCACCAGCCACGTGTGGCTATCGAATACGTGAAAGATGGCTCGTATGACCAAGGAACAACCTGTGTAATTTTATTGAATTTTAGTTACTTTAAAGAGCCACCTGTGCTCAGTAGCTGCCATATTGGACAGGGCAGCTCGGAGTAGAGTGGCATTCCTAATTGAGAAGCCATCCTGAGACAGCCTGTAAGAGCGCCGTGAGTGACTCATTCTATGATGACTCTTTAAACGAAACTCCTCGAGCCGCTTGGTGGCATTTCGGACAAACTCGTCTTCAAGATGAGATGGTAACAGCAGCAATTCTTGGTTGAGGCCAAGGTCTTTTTCACATGTAATCCACTACCCGTCATACAGCCAGGTCATTAGATGTCATGCCTGTTTAAGCCCGAGGGAGCTGCAGCTCGAGGAAGCCAGGTGGCCTGTTAAAGGGCCACACAGCTGGCACATGACAAGCTGGAGTCTGAAGCCAGGGCTGTATGACCTGATTCAGTGCTGTCCAATACCTGTTCCTGCTGGTGGCGGAAATGTTCTGTGATCCATACTGTTCAGTGTGGTGGCCACTGGCCACCCACGGCTACTGAGCCCTTGAAATGTGGTGTGTGAGACTGAGGAACTGAGCCTGCAACTCTTTAATTTTAACCAATTAAAATGTAAACGTAAATGGCCACCCATGGCTCATGGCCACTGTACGAGGTGCTGCAGCCTCGGCGTCCAGGTTCTCAAGCCACCACGCTTCGCTGTCAGTGACTGATATGACCCACATGGGGTTAGTTTTCTTTAGATTCATTTCCCCAAGATGAGGTTTTCTGCTCTTGGGCCTCCCAACCCCAGGCAGTCAGTTCCTCTGCTCCAGAGGAGGCTCTCTCCTCCCCCTGCAATTCGCGTTCATTCGGCTCCCACGGGTGCAGGGTCCGTGCCGGCCAGGCTGGGACGGGCATCTGAGCTGCTCTTCTTACTCCTTGCCTTCCCCGGCCTTGTTCCTGATCCAAGACTCCCCTGGCCGCTGAGGCCTGTCTATCTGTTCCAAGCACAGAGATTGTCAGCTCCTCAAAGGGGCCTTCGGTGCCGGTACTCGGTGGCGTCAGAAGGCCTATGGGAAGTGAGAGGGTGGCAGGGGAGGGCTTGGTTAAAAAAGACACACGATGGCTGTGGGCAGTTTTGGGAGTATGTGTGGGGGCCTAGGTCCGTCTTTCCTGGGCTTCATAAACCATTGGTATAAACATATTGTTTTAAAGAGTCATATTGCATATTGTTAAAAAATTCCAATATTAAAAAATATTTCATGTAGGACATACTCTCCAACCTACCCTTACAGGAAAACACTGAGTCTGATATTTATTGCTCCAATATTTTTTCTATAAATATACTAATCTGAGAGTATATGAGTATTTTTCTTACAAAAATAGAATCTCATTCTCCGTGCTGTCTTATAACTTCCCTTTTGTCACTCATTCATGTGTTTATCAAAATACATTGATTGAGTGCTCGCTGCGTGCTAGTCACTGTTCTAGGGGCTGGGACGCAGAAGAAACAGATGTGTAAGCTTTCCCTGCCAGGCAGAGGCAACAGTAAACACAATAACTAAACCAGTGGTTTCGATTGTGATCAGCAGTTAAGTGAATGACATGCGTAAAGAGGGGATCCCCTTGTGTCTGCAGACTCTAAGCCTCGACGCCTTGTCCATGGTCTACCCACCTCAGGAGGTGTGCAGCGCCGGCCCTGCAGCCATCCAGCAGTTCCTCTGCAAAGGTAAAGCCAGGCAGCCTGCCTCCTTGGCCCCGTGAACACACATGGCCCCAGCAGCTGCCCCATACCAGCCCAGGCTGGGGCAATGGCAGACCGAGGAGGCCAAACAGATCATCACACAAGGGAATATAATCACCTGTTGCGTTTACAAGAGCACAGTGGGGCATCAGATTTAGGGGCTTCAGGGTAGGTCTGTCTGAGAAAGTGGCTGAGCGGAAACCTGAGTGATGATTAGCACTTAGACAAGAAAGAAAGGATGTTCCTGGCAGAAGGAGGTGCCCCCAGGCCCCGTCATATAGGAGAAGAAATTGATCACACTTCCTTTTTACAAAGAGCACTCCAGATGTAGGAAGGAGAAGGGATTGGAGGAAGCAAGAGTAGGGGGGCAGCCAGTTAAGAGGTCACTGGGGTCACCCAGGAGAGAGACCACAGTGGATTGGACTTGGAGAAGTGGCCGAAGTTGCTAAACCCCAGGGCCGCCCCTGGTCTGGGTGCCAGGAGGGAAGAGCAGCACACAGGCATACCTCGGAGGTATTGGGGTTCCCTTCCAGACTGCTGCAGTAAAGCCGGTCGTAATCTTTTTGCTGGTGGACGGTCTTACTTTCAATTTGTAAAAAAAAAAAAATGAAACTTCTGTGAAGCAGCAGAAAGAAGAGCAGCACACAGGCATACCTCGGAGGTATTGGGGTTCCCTTCCAGACTGCTGCAGTAAAGCCGGTCGTAATCTTTTTGCTGGTGGACGGTCTTACTTTCAATTTGTAAAAAAAAAAAAAATGCAACTTCTGTGAAGCACCATAAAGTGGGGTGCAATGCAATGAGGTGTGCCTGTACCCAGTCACCTCCTGTCAGGTTGGGCATTCTTCATAGGGCTCCCGTCACCTGTGGAACTTTCAGACCACAGGTAAGACTCATGCGTGTGTGGCCATCTGTTTTACGACAAAGGTGCCATTGCAAAGTGATGAGAAAGCAAGAGTCTTTCCAATAAATGATTCTGGAGCAATTAGATATCCACATGGTGGGTGGGGGGGGCTTTAACCTCTTCCTTAAATAGGAGAGAGGCAACACTATCCATAAAAGATTGATAAACTAGATTTCATTAAAATCAAAAACTTCTTCAAAAGGCACCATTTAGGGAAAGGAAAGGAAAGTCGTGAAGTTGGAGATGATACTCATAATGCATACATACCCAACAAAGGACTCATATCTGGAAGGTAGAACTAGAGGGCATAAGGAAAATGCATTGTCAAGAGACAGGAATCGGAATTTTATATAAGAGACTATTCAGATGACCCATAAGTGCTCCACTTCCTTTTAGTCAACAGGAATATGCAAATTAAAACTACAAAGAGATACTTAAACCCTAACACCTTCACTAAAATGGCGAAAATTCATCCATCCATACCAAGAATTAGCAAAGACATGGAGCAACAGGAGCTCCCACACACTGCAGGTGGGAGTGTAAATCGAAAACTCTTCAGAAAATGATCGTCAATATCTACTCAAGCTGAACATTCAAATACCCTGTGACCTGTCAGTTCCGTGCCTAGGTAGATGCCCAAGAGAAATGCCTGTAAACACATGACAAAGGCCAAGTACAGAAAAGCCCATAACAGCACCATCTGTAATAGCCCAGACTGAAGACAACCCCATGTCCATCAGCAGTAGAATGGACAATCAAGAACCATCAGCTGCTACAGCAGCAACCTGTGTGAACCTCTCAGACCCCGTGTGAGCTGAGAGAAGTCAGACACGGGAACATGCACTTGGATCGGTCAGCACAGGAGCTCTGAGCAGCACTAATTCCTGCTTATCAAGGCTTGTTCATTTATAAACATTCATCAAGCTGTACGTGAAGACTTTGTGCTCTTTTCTGTATGTACGTCATACTGCAGTAAAAAAAGTTACACACTCCATAACAGCTCACCAGGCCATGTGTCTACTGAACGAGTCTTTGAGCAACAGGTGATTCTACCACAGAGCTTAAGAAGAAATCCTTCGATTTATTTAAGCGGTAGCAGATATATATGTGAACTTTTTAGTTTTGCTCTTTTAAAAACAAAAGAAAAAAAAACTCACAAAAGCGATCATATTATGTGATTCTACGCCTTGCTCTTTTCACTCCAAAGTAGGTCTTGGACCTTTTCCTATCTCATTGTACGAATCAGCCTCATTTTTAACTGCCATGTAGTACTTCCCATGGTGGAGCCGTTGCTTGTGCAGCCATTGCTCGTGCAGCCATCCCCTTGCTGTGGACCTGGAGGTTATTCCCAGTTCGCCACCGATATGAGCACTGTAACCCACAGGTCTGGCACAGTGTGAGTGTTCCTCCAGGGCAGGCAGCAGTGGGGTTGGGAGGTGAAAGGGAAGAGCACTCGGTGTGGCTTTCTGAAGAGGTGACACCGTTCACACTCCTTGAGTATCTGAGAGGACCTGGTCCACCTCCACAGTCTAACACTTGGTGTTAGCGTTAAAAGTTTTCTAACCTGATGGATAAACAAGAGAGCCTATTGTGTAATTTCCTCGATTATTTGAATATTTTTTCATATGCCTACTGCCCATTTTTACTGTTTTTTATGACTTGCCTATTTATTCCCTTCCTGGGGGGCAAAAGTGGGGGGGTAACTTTACATTAAAATCTAAAACTTTTTTACCTCAAAAGGATACCATCATCAAAGCTGAAAAGATGACTTACCACCCAGAAGCAGATACTTATATTGTAGACCTAGGTTATTAGCTACAATATGTAAAAAGCACCTACAAATCAGCAAGAACAAGGCAAACAACCCAATAGAAAATGGGTAGAGTGCATGAACCCTTTGAAGTTATACAGGAGGAAACTGTGCAGAGCCAGAGAAGGCTAGCATCTTGCCCAAGGTCTCACACACAATGGGAATTATGGGTAAGGCTGGGACCCAGCCTTCTCTACTAATCTCAGGCTTTTTTGTATCACTTCATTCTCACTTGGATGGTAAAGAAGCAGGTGGTGTTCCTATTTATTCACTCAGCTGATGCTTACTGAGCACTGGCCGTATCCCAGGCCCAGGTCTTAGGACATGAATAACACGAGGATCCTGTCTAGGGCAGGGGAGCAGTGGACTGAGGTGGGGTGGGACAAGATTCTAAGGAGAAAGGAGGAAGGCAAGGGAGGCAGGAACTGGTGGCTCTGGGTACCTGGCCTGTGTCCTTCCTCTTGGTCAGCTTGTGTCATCTCTTGCAGAGTCAGGGCTGGAATACTACCCCCCTTCTCAGTACCTCCTGCCAGTCCTGGAGCAAGATGGAGCCGAGACCTCCCAGGACAGCCCCGATGGGCCCACAGACAGGTTCTCCAGGGAGGAGGTAGAGTGGCAGGTAAGGTGCACCTGCCTGCCGGCACACGGAATGGATGGTGTGTGTGCGGGAAGCCCTGGGCGTTGGTGGGTGATGTTCAGAGCTGCAGCTGCTGGACTCCTCCATCAGACTAGAAGTTCTTCTCCATCCAGACTGATGTGCGTGTATGCTTTCACAAGGCCTGTGGCCGCCTCAGCTCGCTAGCTCACCGAGCATCAGTTGCTCCAGGCTCCTCCCTGTTCTCTAACTCCCTGGGGCCTTTCAATACGGGGTTCCCTCGGTCTGGAACTCTCCCCACTCACCTGCTCCCACTAACTCAGTTCCACCCTTCAGTTCTGTTTAAACATCACATCCTCCGAGAAGCCTTCCCCGACACACCAGCCCAGGTCAGGTCTGTTGCATGTTCTCAGAGCACCCTGTATGCTTCCTTGGGAGCGCTTGTCACGGCTCTACGTTAAATGAAGAATTACATGGGCTTTGATTGTTTTTAATGTCGGTCTGCTCTGCTGGATGGAGCTTCATGGGAGTGGGGCTCGCGTCCCTATTGTTCATGGTTGTCCCTCAGCAAATACTTGCTGCCTCAATGCCACTGGCTGTACAGGACGCCTGTCGTGATCCCCGTCTAGTGAAGAGGTCGGGCACACATGTCGGCAGCGCCAGCAACAGGCTGGCCCTCCCAGGTCCCTGTTACGTGCACAGGCAGATACAGGCAGACCTCAGAGAGAGTGTGGTTCAGTTCCAAACCACCGCAGTACAGTATTGTGATAAAGCGAGTCACGTGACTTTTTTGGTTTCCCAGTGCACATAAAAGTTCTATTTACACTGCGCTGTCATCTATTAAGTGTGCGATAGCATTATGTCTAAAAAACAATGTATGTACCTTAATTTAAAAATACGTTATTGCTAAAAAAAGTTAATCATCTGAACCTTCAGCAAGTCATAACCTTTTTGCTGGTGGACGGTCTTGCCTCGATGTTGATGAAAACATAAGCATAATGAAACGATGTATGCCTGTATATATATTTTTCCAAAGGCATAAATTATATGTAAGTAGATGCATGGACCTGGGTCTGATAATGATAGTTACATGGGGGGCGCGGGGGACCAGGATTAGGCCTGGGCGTGATCAGTGGGTACTTTAGTTTCATATGTCATGTTTTAATTTTCCACAGGAGAATATATTCAAATATCATCTGTATAATATCTGAAGATTATGCAGATAATAAAGATTATTATAAAGATTAATTTTAAAAATCTTACTCCTACCTCAGGATAGGAAAAATCCTATTTTCTTATAGGATGCTGCTTCTACAGTTTAGACAGAAACTGGTCCTGGTCTCAGAGCTAGAGAACTAAATTGAAAGGCCACTAAAAATGTGTGTGTGTATGTGTGTGTGTTGTTTAACTACAGAAATAATTCATGCTCCTTGTTATAAATCTAAACATATAGAAATATGCACCGCAAGTGGATGCCACCCCTGTCCCTGCAGTCCACCCCCTAGAGCAGTGGTCCCCAACCTTTTCAGCACCAGGGACCAGTGCTCCTATGGGAATCTAACGCCCGACGATCGGAGGTGGAGCTGAGGCGGTGATGCTGGCGCTGGACCCGACGATCGGAGGTAGAGCTGAGGCAGTGGGTGATGCTGGCGCTGGGGAGCAGCTGCAGATACAGATGAAGCTTCACTCGCTCACCCGCCGCTCACCTCCTGCTGTGCGGCCCTGTTCCTAACAGGCCACAGACTGGTACCGGTCTGCAGCCCGGGGGTTGGGGACCTGTGCCCTAGAGGTAATCATCATGAACTGGTCAGCAAACCTCCTTCCTGACTTTCGTCTCAGCAACTACAAAACTCAGTATAGAGTTTTGTCGATGTTGTTTTTACAAGAGTGGAATCAGACTACACATGGGGTGAAAGATGGCTGACATCTTTTCCTGTAGCTACACCCACATTCGCCCCATTACTTTGACAGTTGTATGACATTTCACTGTGTGGACGCACCGTGACTTATTAATCAATCACCTGTTGGTGGACATTTATTTCTAGCGTTTTCACTCTTTGGAGCAGTCCTGCAGGAATTTATGCAGACTCCCTGGTGCATTGAGGGCTCTTCTGGTGGGCTACCGCCGAGTCCTGCAGGGGTGTTGTGCAGGCATACACGGGAAGCAGATACCCCATTTCTTGGTCTCCTCTTCGGAGCTCCACACCTTCTCAGTGTTGCGTCCCCAGGACTGTTGAAGACCTCCCTACAGTGTGCCCAGCCCCATGGTTCTCAACTCCGGTGTCCACCAGAACCATCTGCAACTCTTTATCGAACTCCCACCCCCTCATCCTCACCCCCCACCAATCCACCACCGTTCTGCGGAGTGGGCCTGGGAGTCTTAATGGTGTCAGGCTGCCTGCCTTCTCTGACCACTGTCTTTTTCTCCCCAGAATAGGTTCTCAGACTACGAGAAGAGGAAGGTAAGAAAATGCCATTTGTTCTCTGTGACTTTTCTTCTCATTAAAGATCTCAACTGTTATCAAAGACTTGAGGACATGAGTCTTTCCTGCCTCTAAGTTAAAGGGGAAAGCAATGCTTTTCTCTTACGTACATGGCCTCGGCATCTCCTCCCACCGCCTCGGTGCGGGTCGAGTATCTCCACTTGACAGGTGAGAAGACCGAGGCTCTGAGAGGTCGAGCCCAACCCCCAGGCTCCAAACTGCCAGCCTCTGCCAGCAGACGGCCTTTTTTTTTCAAGGGAGGCCCTGGGGGTGTTGCTCAGCCTTAAGATCCGCAGCCTGCACTGTTCAGAGTTGTGAACATGTCCTAATGTTCCCAGAGCCTATGCTATTAGTCACCGAGATCTACATTCTTGCAGGAACAGAAGATGCTGGAGAAACTTGAGTTTGAACGGCGCCTAGAACTCGGGCAGCGAGAGCATGCCCAGCTCCTTCAGCAGAGCAGTAGTCAGAAGGACGAGATCCTTCAGACAGTCAAGGAGGTTCGTGAGCAGCCAGGTGGGGTCAGCACCCCTGCCAGGGCCTCCTGACGCCAGCCAAGGTCCCTCTGATGTGGGGAGGCGGTGGGAGTAAGCCATCTCACGTCCATCCGCCAGGACCTGGGGGCCCTCACAGATCACCTAGTTCAGCCTCCTCGCATGCAGTGGGTACCCTGAGCCCAGCGAGGGGAGGCCCTGGCCCAAGGTCACACAGAAAGGGCTGGCAGGACGGGGACAGGAAAGCCGCTCTCCTAGCACCAGTCCGGGGCCCCTCGCTGCCCTACAGCACCTGAGGGAGGCCCAGCTTCTCAGGGCCGCCGCCTGCCCTGTGCAGGAGCAGTCGCGGCTGGAGCAGGGCCTGAGCGAGCGCCAGCGTCACCTCGAAGAGGACCGGCAGCGGCTGCAGGAGGAGCTGAAGCGGACGGAGCAGAACATCTCCAACCGGATCCAGAAACTCCTACAGGACAATCAGAGGTCAGGCGTCCATCCCCCCGGACCCCAGGGTGGGGGTTTGCCTCCCACCACCGGCTCCACTCCTGCCCAAGGTTTCCACCTTGAGATCCAGTCCTGGTGCTGCAGTGTGCACCAGCTTAAAAGGGGAGACTCTGATCTGGGCGTGAGGTCAGCCGTTCACTGGTGGGGAGGTGTGGCTTAGCGAGTCCCGTCTGGGTGGGAGCTGCAGGGAGCAGGTCTCCACAGGGCTTGGGAGAAAGGGGGCCAGATGGAGCTCTCAGGAAGCCGGAGAAAGTCGAGTCACGGTCCGTTGTGGAAAGACCAGAAATGCTTTGGCCACATCCCCTGTTGCTTTTGGCTTGCCCCTGCGCCATCCAGCAGTCACACGGTGCCTGCGTGTGCAGCCCAGCGTGCGGTCACCACCGAGGGCATCCAGGAAGGCCGCCCTTTGTCGGCCGCTTCTTACGTGCCATGCACTTTATATTTTCTCACTCACTCTTCACAAATATTCCACGAGGTTTTTATTATTATCATTGTTTCCACGTCATGGACGAGGCACTGGGGCTTAGAGCAGTTGAGTAACTGGCTGGAGGACGTAGAGCCCCTCGGTGGGACTAAGAGGCCCCAGTGCAGTCATTAAGCCCCCTCTACGCAGCCAGCACGGGTAGGGGACGGCAGTGCTGTTGGAAACAGGCCTGCTGGTGACGACCACGGGGACCTTTCACGGATTTCTCCACAGGCAAAAGAAGAGTTCTGAGATTTTGAAGTCGCTGGAGAATGAAAGGTCAGTGTTCAGCTCCAGCACTTTCTCAGCACGGGCCCTTCCTCTGGGGACAGACTGTCTGTGATTCCCAAGGATCATGCCACAAAGTTTTCCTAAAGCTGTAAGGAGAGTCACCTCACTGGGGAATACTGAATTAAGAATCACTATCTGCAAGTTTATTAAAACACATGTACACCCCTGAGAAAAATTCAGGCGCGAATGAAAACATATGTATAATGTCCAACTATATTCCTAGTATAAAAAAAGAAATTAGAAAAGCATCTGCATTTCTGGGGGAAATTTTTTTGTGTGTAAATTATATACAAAAAGATAATCTGTAGCCATTCAGTGTCTTGTAGGAGAATATTCCTTATTAAAGGAAACACAGTATATTGCTAAGTAGACAAGGGGGGGCCTACGGTCTGTCATTTCTTGAAGACACTCTGTCATTTCTTGAAGACAACAAAAGGACTCGCCCCCGATGGTTTACTCTGAATGATTTTGAGAGGTGAGATTAGAGGTCGTGGTATTTGGATTTTCCCTTTGTGGTTTCTGTATTTTCTAAGCTTACTGCATTGAGATGCACCAGTTCAGTAATTAGAAAAGATGATAGTTGGGAAGGACAAACCCCCGACACACACACTTCCTGAGGTATCAATGGGATCCCTCTGGTTCTCTGGGATCCCAAAATAGCAGAAGGGACTTTGCTGCTGTCCTTGTGCCCCGCCTTCTAGACCCCTCAGCACCAGAGAAGACCACCCACGGGGCACTCCCGCCAGGCGGCAGGGTAGCCCATCATCCCGCCCACTTCGGCAGCATCGCTGCAGTAGCCTGGGGTGGTCAAGGCCCAGCTGAGTGGTGGCCGGCGGCATCATTTACTCAACACATACTAACCAAGTGCCCTTTCTATTCTGGGCCTGGCCAGGGCCTGGGCCAAACAGTACCCCATATGCGGCCTTCCCTTGAGCAGCCTGTGGTCCTGGGCAGGAGGCGCGGGTGGCCACATGGTACGTGCTTCTGCCAACAAAGTCAGACCCTGCGGAAATCAGGGTTGTCTTTCCAAGCTGTTATTTCCAGTTTAGTGTGGGGTTAAAAATGCAGATAAGCAGAGCATGCGCTTATGTACGTGCAATTACTCTTTATTTTCATTTATTATATCATGCATGTATTTCCATGCCAAGAACATTATTATTTGTAACAGCTACAGAGTATTCCATTACATGATTATATCATCATTTATTTAATCAGCCCTCTGTTCATGGACATTTAGTTGTTTCTAGTTTTTCACAATTATAAACACTGTTGCAGTGACTGTCTTCTAAACACACCTATATGCATTGCGTGAATATTTTTGGAGGACATAGTCAGAGGACTTCTGAGAGTTATTGCCAAATTGCCTCCCAAAAACATTTTGCCAGTTTACACTCCTCTCACCAGTATGTGAAAGTGCCCATTTCACCCCCTTCATTGCTATCATCAATGGTTATCAGTTTTCTTGATATCAACTGATGCGATAAATGAAAAAAAGATTTTACTTTTTTTAGTTATCGATGACATTAAGCATCTTCCCACACGTTTATCAGTCACTTGTATTTAAGTATCAATGAAATAGCTGTTTGCGTCCTTTGCCCATTTTTCTAAGGAAATGTTCATCTTTTCGTGCAAGAAACTGTAACTACAAGGCTGAGGGTAGGCAGGGTCCTGGCAGAGGCGCAGGATGCAGGGCGAGCTTGTCTGGGTTGGCACATCAAGGAGGACTTCCTGAAGGAAGCGGGGTTCACCTGGCGGGATTTCCACTTGGAAGTGTTAGGTTTGCTGAATAAATGGATGGATTGTTCTTCTAGAATAAGAATGGAACAGCTGATGTCCATAACCCAGGAGGAGACAGAGAACCTGCGGAGACGGGAGATTGCCTGTGAGTCTCGGGGGGCGGGAAGGGGAGCAGGGGGCGTGGCGAGGGGTCCTGGGAACAGAGCTCGGCTGACTGGAGGGTGCAGAGCTCTGTCCCTGTTGGTCAACCATAGAGGGCACTGATTGTTACCCCTTAAGCCGGGACACATTCATAAAAAGTAAGAAGTGGTATGTTTAGATAACAGTTTAATTTTTTATTGTGATAAAATTTATGTAACATAAAATTTACTATTTTAACCACTTTTTTAACCACTGTGGCATCAAGTACACTGTTGTGTAACCATCACCACCTCCCCCACCCCCATCTCCAGAACTCTTTTCATCTTGCAAAACTGCAACTCTGTACCCGTTAAATAAACTCATTTCCCACTCCCCCATCCCCTGGCACCCACCATTCTACTTTCTGTCTCTATGAATTCAACCGCTCTAGGGACCCATATAAGTGGAATCATACAGCATTTGTCATTTGTGACTGGCTTCTTTCACTTATGTTCTCAAGTTTCATTCATGTTGTAGCTTATTGCTGAATTTCTTTCCCTTTTAAGGCTGAATAATATTCTGTTGTATGGATATACCACATTTTGTTCATCCATTCATTTGTCAGTGGGCACTTTGGTTGTTTTCACCTTTTGGCCACTGTGAATAATGCTGCTATGAACATGAGTGGATGCATATCTATTCAATTCTCTACTTTCAATTTTTTTATTTTTTTAAATTTATAAATATGCATTAACATTTGACTAGAAAAATATACATATTAAAATGTAGTAATTTCTCTGGGTGACAAGATTATAGAAGGTTTTGTGCGTAGTGTTCAGCATTTTATCACGGGTCAATCTTTCAAGCTTGAGTGACTTCTATAGTTAAAAAAAAAAAAAAAGATTTTTTTTTCAGGGTGACTATCAGGCGAGTAGCTGGGTCAGACCTGTGAGGCCACCCCAGACGCGGCTGCCCCTCTCTCAGCCCCTGCCCCCCGTGTTTCCTCAGCCGCCATGCAGCAGATGCTGACGGAGAGCTGCAAGAACCGGTTCATCCAGATGGCCTACGAGTCCCAGAGGCAGAACTTGGTCCAGCAGGCCTGTTCCAGGTAAGGTAAGGAGAGGCTTCCTGAGGAAGGGAGTTGGGGGAGCCGGCTCGGGGCCCAGGAAGTCCCCTGCCCTCGGCCACCCCAGCCTCGGCCATGCTGTCAGGAGCAAATGGTGACTGGTCATCATGACTTTTCTCTCTGGACCCCACGATCCTATCTTGGGCTGTGATAAAGTGACAGTACCTCATTTTATTGCGCTTAGCTTCATCACACTTTGCAGATACTGTGTTTCTTACAAATTAAAGGTTTGTGGCAACTGTGTGTCAAGCAAGTCTATCGGTGCCGTTTTTCCAACAGGCGCAAATGATGGTTAGCATTTTTTAGCAATAAAGTATTTTTAAATCAGGTATGTACACTTTTTAGACTTAGTACTGTTATACATTCGATAGACCATGGTGTAGTGTAAACACAATTTTTATATGAAGGGGAAACCCAAAAAATTCGTGTGATTCACTTGCAATATTCGCTTTATTAGGGGGTCCCGGAACCAAACCTGCACTATCTCCCAGGTTCACCCGTAATCTCTACCACGTCTCATGCACTTCCTGTGTGCCAGGCTCTCGGCTAAGTGATGCGTGTTAGCTTAGTGAGCCTCTGAGGGATGTATTACTCTCAGCCCCATTTTACAATCACAACTCAGACTGAGAGACTGTGCGACACACCCAAGGAAACACAGCTAGCGGGTGGCAGAGTGGGGTGTGCTCTTGACCACGGTGCACTTGTCATCTCCGAGAGTCTCCACAGGTTGGGAGCAGGGTGCACTGGAGGGGACATGACAGGGTTGCCTGCATGCCGATGGCCACTCTGAGTCTGGCTCCCCAAGTTCACTGCAACACTGTGGGTTGTCTGTTGAAGGAGCCACAGGTGTCTGGCAGAGCCAGGTAACAAAAGCCCAGTTGGTGCTCAGGAGCCCCAGACAGGGACAGGCCAGCAGCCCTGGCTGCCTTTGTGTTTTTCTTCCCATTCAGGTGACACAGCTGCCAGCTTCCCCTGTGTCCTCAGGGGCGGGGCTTCCTCCCTCCTTTCCTGGCGATATGACATTGTGCCTAGCACAGGCACTTCTTCTGCCAGTAACTGTGAAGTCCTGGGCGAGTTACTTCCCCTCCCTGAGCCTCAATTTTCTTATCAGAAAACTAGGGAAAAGTCACCTACTTCCTGGAGTTTCTGGGGGACTTAACGAGCCTAAATGAGCATAATGTCTGCCACATAGGGTTCGATAAAAACAGCTGTTATTATGAAACAAACTCAAAACCGTGATTATACCAAAGTAGGGACATAGGCAAGGTTGCAGGGTTTGGATTTTTGTGCCAAAATCACTAGATTTGTTCTCGCGGGCGGAGAGCAGATCCACTGCCAGGGCAAGAAACGCTGGGGTGCGGGGCGCAGCGGTTGGTGCCCAGGGAAGGACGGCTTTCTCAAGACCTGAGTGGCGTGCCTAGGAGGTCACGTCCTGCTGGAGGGGTATTGGACAACCCAGAGATTACCTCTTCCAGTTCTCGAGATACAGACTCTGTCACCTTCCTTCCAGAGCCATGGGATTCAGACAGACTCCATGTCCACACCCAGCCTGGGACATGGCCCCCAGCAGGCACTCCATTTATTGCTGAATGAATAAATGGTTTATCTTGACCTCCTGCAAGGCGCCTGGCACATAGTAGGTGCTCAGAAAATGTTGAGAGAGTGAATGAATTTGCCGTCTTTCCGGCAGCATGGCTGAAATGGATGAGCGTTTCCAGCAGATTCTGTCATGGCAGCAGATGGATCAGAACAAAGCCATCAGCCAGATCCTGCAGGAGGTAAGCCCTGGCCCAGGGCGTGAGACAGGGGTACAGGCGGGGTACAGTGAGCCCGGGGCAGAGCCTCAGAACTCCACAGGGAGCCCCGTCCTAGATGGAGGGTAAGACCCAAGATGCTTAGTGTGTTTAGTACAGTCAGGAAGAGAGGGGCAGGGAGAGGCCTCTGGGCGGTGATTTTCTAGACACCGAAATCTAGAGAAGCACCCGCCTTCCCTGGCGGGTGTCCACCCCCCAGGCTGTGAGGACCCCGTGGTAAGGGCTGAAAGGGCAGAGGCGATGCGCTCACACCTCGGAGGGGGAGCGCTGCAGGACCTTGCACTTCTCATTCCCACGCCCGCTGCCCCTGTCTCCTCTCCGGCTGGCTCAGCCGGCCCACTGGGAGCACGCGACCGCCCAGCCCCTGCTGAGCAGGCCGTGATCTCTGTTGCAGAGCGCCATGCAGAAGGCCGCGTTTGAGGCTCTCCAGGTGAAGAAAGACCTGATGCATCGGCAGATCAGGAACCAGGTCAGTGTGGGGGTCATAGGCCCCCACCCACACCTGTCCTGTCAGCACAGACACGCAGAGGTGTCTGGACAGGCCGCGTTAAGCTTGCATCCTGGCTCCTTCACTTGCCGGCTCAGAGTCTCCCCTCAGAACCTCCCTTTCCTCCAGAGCCCAGGTCAGGGGCTGTTGCCAGGTGCCTCGAGGCAGCACTATAAGTGCCTGGCAAGTGTGACCTGCACGTTTCTCACGCTTCCTCACACTTCTGGGCTAAGGGGAAGGGCAGCTCCGACTCTCAGCCTCGGGGCAGCCTCCGCGCTGACCAGGCCGCAGGCAGACCAGACCCCTCACTGGGGGAGAGCAGCGGCTCAAGCCCCAATATCCCCATCCACTCATACTGGGGACCTGGGGCAGATTGGATCCCCCACCCGAGGGGGCAGGGTGGGCCCGATGTCAGCTGAGTTGTGACCTGGGCCTGGCAGGGAGGGACGTTTTCTCGCCTGGGCCCCGCCGCTGACGTGTAGCCTGGCCTTGGGCAGCCCCACCGCTGTGGCCTCTCTGCCACCTCCATGGAGTGGGGCTGTGCAGGACCCGCTTGGCCTTCCTGGGCAAGGTGGGGCGGGCGGCTGGAGGTAGAGTGAGCTTTCAAGCTACGGGAACGCTCATCACATCGTACTCAACGTACTTTGAATTTCACATTTTGCATGTTTTTTTTCTTTTTCTTTTTCTTTTTCTTTTTCTTTTTTTCTTTTTTTGGCCTAAACCGACTTACCATTTTTTTTCCCTCTTTAATTTAAATCCCACATAGCCAGACATGAAGCTCATTCCTCTGACCAGGGGTTGGTGGGGATATAGGAACTTAGGGACAAGAATCAAAGGTCGTAGGCA